TTCCTGTTTGCGTCTTTTCGTTCACACATGTTGATGCTTTGGGTGCCATTTTTCTCAGAATTCATTTTATTGGTTGTTTTTTCTCTGGATCTCATGTCAGCCTCACACTTAATCCATCACACTTGTTTTTCTCTCCTCCTCCTCCTCCCATTGTGTCTGTCACTCCCACTCATTTCCTCTTCTTCACCAATCCATCCATCCATCCATCTCTAGAGTGGTCGAGTGGTTCAGGTGATTTCCACACAGTTGGTTTAATATATGCTGATGATAATAACCTATCGACCCACTCCTCTACAAACATTCATTTTCCCTCTCTCTATTTATCCCTCCATCCATCCTTTGTCCTGGCTGGAGGGAGCAGCAGACAAACGAGAGGAGGGAGGAAGTGGATGCCCGTTTGATTGAGCACTGATGTTAACAGGATTCAGGCCGAGGAAGTGAAAGCACATTTATTTCATAAAAACACCACACATTTCTATAATCTGACTGTAAATGCTGCTAATTTCCATTTTCTGGGAATCACTATTTACTTTAGAGTTTAAACTGATATCTGATGTGTTTCTGGACACAAATCATTCTAATTTTAAGTATTTTGCTGTACTTATTATGTGTTTTTTGTGTCCTTTGACCAAACAATATTTTCAGGGTTAGGGTTGCATTTTATTAATGCCTCTGTTTAATTATGATACAGAATGAAAGTCTGTAGGAGGGAAAAAGCCCTTTAAGATGCCCCGTTTAGAAGAAATGTGAAATATTAATAAAGCCTCTGCATGCATTCACAATTATTCTGTCCTTTGTGGCTGAATTCAAACTCTTGGTGATATAATCTGTATTATAGGGTTTATTAGACTAAATTTCCTTCTTATTGAGACTCTTGATATTAAATCTGATTGGCGTCCTGATGCGGCCAAGAGGAAAATCTTCATTATTGAATGACCGAGGTGCAGCATCTGAATAAAAACATCAAACATGAAAATCACATCCGTAAATGGACGTGTTGAAAACAAAGTGACCATAATTAATTCCAAGGAGTCGCAGAAAATCCGATGCACGTGTTTGAGGAACTTGTCTTGCCAACAGACATTGAAACTAATTTTATTCAAAACCAACAAAAATGCAGGACGTCATCAATTAGACTGAAAAATATCTCAACTGGGCAAACAATTTTATCAGAATTTCTTTAATTTGACTTCACAATTCAAGCAATTTAAACAACCGGTACACACCATCAGGTGCTAATGTGTGTCACCTAATCACCTGCTGCAAGCCGATGTTTTGCTGTTTTAATCTCCTTTCAGCACAGGCCCTTCCTTCTGTTCCTATTTCTAACCAAATATTCCCAGTGCATTATGTTCATTCCCATCTCTGAAATGTGTGAAGCCAGGATCTGTTGTGTGCATCTCTGTGGGGGGGGGGGGGGGGGGGGGGGGGGTGTCTCTGACAAAATCCTGCATTTTCACTAAGATTCATTGACAGCATCGCCTCAGGAGCAGAGCCAATTGTCTTCTTACAACTGGGGAGTCTTTTAGCAAAAAGGCTGGAATTATTTCTAATGGTGCGAGCTTTGCAAACATGCGAGTGGTTTTCTTGGACCGGGCTGAAGCTACGCTAATTCTCCAACTGCTTATAGCATAACTATCTGGCGGGACACCATAGCAAAGGCTGCACACTTCTCTGTTTTCCTGTGAAACATTCAAGGCACGTTTGATCAGCTGGAAATGGGCTTTGAGATTTTAGATTTTTTCCCATCATTTCAAACTCATTTGTTGAACCTTGTGAGTAAAAAAAAAAAGGCTAAATAAACCCGTCCCATCTTCTGTGTTTTTAGGCTGGCTGAAAAGGCGAAAATATTCTGGAGTGTTTGCCGCTTCAGCTATTTTAGAGGAACAAACCACACCGATGGTGAAGAATATCCCTATAACAATTATTTGTACCTAATAAAACCATTTCTGGTTAGTTTTTAAAACATGCTCTCAGACACCATTCAGCCATGTTTTAAAGCTGTAGCGCCACATCATTAACGAGAGGAGGGGGAGATTTTTAATTTAAACAGCTACAGCTCCCTCCACTTGTCCCCCTCCCCTCCTAGTAGTGCCTCATAGAGCAGAGTCATCCTCTTCCACAGCTAGCTTGAATTTTAATGTCTGACATTAATTAAATGTGGGTTGAATTGGCATTCAAGCTAGCATCATATTAGCCTATGGTAAATACAGCATAAAACAATTATCTGCACTGTTATTTTTCCTTCAAATGCTTTTTCAGTTACAGTTCTTTAAAACACAACAAATCACTGATTTACTCCCCCAAAACTATCTTTGCCACCTCTTCATCTGTTTTGAGCCCTCATACAATGTTTGCAAAAGCACGTCGGACATCACTGACGTGTGTTAAGATTGTCTGACAAAAAACACGTTTTACATAATTTAAAAAGTAAAAGGCTCGCTATATATTTATATTGAAACTTATACGTATAAATATAACCTTATCTCCTGTATCACGTAACAAGACATCGCCTTGTGAGGCCAGGCGCCTTGCTTATGAGGACACGGTCCTTCCTTGGTCAAAGAAAACGGTTAAATTGAACAGACTTGCGGTCAGTTACGTGACCACGTAACATCACATGACACAAGAAGTAACATCATCTTTTTTACGTGTAAGTTTCAATACAAGTCTATAACAAGCCTTTTACTTTTTAAATTGTGTATATTTTGGTTACATTTAATATATAAGCGAGTTACTACCTTCTAGCCACCAAAGCTGCGACTATTAAGCAACTAGCCAACCATAAATAACTGCTTTGGATATAAACAAACATTTCAGATATCAACCCGACAGCTACAATTAGTTGACCTATATTTAGACTTGAAATTTGCGCCCGAAGTAGCTACCGGCTTCTGATCCGCCATCTTTTTGAAAATACTGCGGTGTTCTGGGAAATTCTTTACCAAGGCCAGGCTACAAGACATCCTTGCTCAGCTAGCTAAACGGCTAACAAATGGAGAACAGACGCCTCGGTAGAACATGAACATTGGAACACGCCTTGGCGGTTCCTGATGACGTATCTCCTAGGCAACCGGGGCGGGACCTAGAGATCAAGGTGAGGTTCCTTGGCATTGAGAAATACCCCCCGTCTCTGGGCGACTCCATATTAGACGCCATGTTTTTTTCTACGTGAGCCTGTGAGGACAAAACACATTTATTGATGTGTAACAAACTGTTACAAAACTTTCACCATTCATAAACGTTGCTATTTTACACATTGACCTCTTCACTCGTTGCCAGGGATGAAAGGGAGTCTGGTGTGCTTGTCATTTTGCTGGAGGTTGCGCTCTCAGGGATTTTTGAGCCTAATGGCCATCCGTTGGTGCGGTCTTACTCGAACACAAAGTTACCACTAGCTTGCAATGTATTAAATAAGTACTTCCCCATATCCCCAGGGAAAATACACATTGTCACTTCAGTGTTTCCCCTAGGAATTTTTCCAGCTGTGGTCGTGGGGAGGAATTATGACACGTCTCACATTTATGTTAATATTGTTTTATTAGACACACTCCACTTTGAACTGCACTAATCCAGTGACTGCTGCATTTAAATAACTAGTATTAACGGTGAATACACCAATAATTGCACAAGAATAATTTGTTTTAAACTCTCAGTGACACACTTTGCAGGGGGGGTGGTATTTAATTTGTCTTGGCATCTGGAAAAACATCTCCTTTTGCCCCCTGTATTTGACTTTCTGCCCCCTTTATTTTGGTCCAAGATCATTACTGGGCTGGCCCTGTTAAAAACGTTCTACACCCCTGCTTAGTAAAATTAATGAAGTATTTTTAAGCCAGGATAAATATGACTGAAACACAAATTTAAATGTTTGGCATTACTGACCAATATCTTTTATTTAATTTATTTGTTAAGAACATCAAGATGCATTACAGTGAACATTATAATAAAGTACATTTTTCTAGTGCTGAGAGGAGACAACCCATAGAAGCACTGATTTGATCTCATTTCAGAGAAAAATAGAACAGGTCAGATGCACCTAATAAATAAAATTACTAACAAACTCGGGAGTCTGTTTCTTTGCTTCATTGTTCTGGTGCTGAAAATATCACTAATGCAGATCAAAGGAGATACACAGCTACGTACGTTACGAAAAAAGTAACTTTAAATATTCAACCAAAAAAGAGGCGAGCTGAAGAAACGTGAGCAACAGTGAAGCAAGCACAGAGAGATCCGTTACTGTGTGTGTGTGCGTGGATGCCTGGGCCGGACTGAGCTCCCGGCTGCAGAGGTTTGTGTGTAGTGAGGGGCGGGCGCTCCATGTGACTGGCCAATCACAGAGCGTGAAGGCAGTCAGTTACCCAATGAGGATTTTTCTTCAGCACGATTACAGATATTTACGAGTTTTACTCGTTTCATGCTCGTATTCGTCAAAATAGTTTTATCCCTACCACATACTGGTCTGAAATGAGTATCCGGCTCATCCCTAGCCGTAACCACCCTGCCCTGCCTCCTCCTCCTTGCTGCCTGCCGGCTGTGATCACAAGCAACAACAAAGTAGTTCCCGCTGCTTCTTCGGGAAACAATGCAAAAAAAAATGTGGTGCTGGGATTTCAGCCGTGGTGGGCCGCCACAACTACTCCTATGTAAGGGAAACGCTGCACTTTAAAATGAGGTGTGGATGTCATAAAGTTTTGCTTTTTTTGTTTGTTTTGTGCCCATCTGTTTTCATTTCCTGCTGACATCAGTTTAGCCAGAGGGTGTCTAATATCCAACATCAGCCCAAAATTTATGACTGAGATGATGCAATCCTTTCCTTCATTCATCCATTGTCAGCATCTGATGCTCAGTAGGGTTGCAGAGTTTTATCTAATGCACAGGAAAAGAAAGCGGGAAAATACATTTAATTTGTAAATAAAAAAATTCTATCTTTCAGCTCGAAATGGTCAGGAATAATACAAACATGTCTTTAAGGCTGGTGTGTGTTTTCTAAAATGCAGCTTGCTCAGGATGAAGGCAGCCCGGTGCGAGGCTTTGGTGTGGTGGAATACGAGACGGCGGAACAGGCTGAGGCGGTTTTGACGGAGATGGACCGAACTCTGGTGGGAGGACAGGAGGTCCGGCTGTCGCTTTGTACCCCCGGCACCTCAGGGAGAAGCACCTTGGCTGCGCTCATTGCTGCCCAGGGTATGGTGAGTATATGCACAATTGAAGCAGCAGGCAATAGTGGCCGTTCTGTTCAGAATAACGAGGACAAACTCATCATTTCAGTTTTAAAAGTGGTCATGTGTTATGTTGCACCCATTTAAATAGGTTCAAATTACATTCCTGCTTTTTAAAGCTAACCTTTCGAGATTTCTTTCCAGGAGTTTTATCAAAGCAGCCTTAAAAGGAACTCCGGCTATGAGGACATGGATGCCCTAATAAGCCGCAAGTTTCTGTTGTACCAAACTATGTTGTTAGAAACACACAAAATATTGCTGTTTATTTATAAATCTATAATATTTAGTACATTATTTGACATACGTAGGACGCCATGTTTTCCACACGCAATGCACTCTGGGGGCGATGACGTATATTGGTTGCTCTTGGAAGAACAGCTATTGACGCTAGTGTTTGTTTTCACGCTCACCGTATAAATAATGAAGTAAAATGCCGCATTGTGCTGCTTTTAGATGTAATTTCCAGTCAGAGGGCAACAAGGGGAGTGTCATGTTCAGCGAACCATCGGACACACCATTCGTCACGGATGAAGCTGAGCGTTCACCTCTCCCGTCAGTAAAACAAGCACAAAGTGTAGCAACACAGTGTTCTCCAAATATATAATAACTGCAAAAAAGATTAAAGTCATTTCACTGAATATCCTAATCATCTATGAAGCACACGACAGCTCTGGATGCTAATATTCTCCTAAATCATTGGTTTGTTTGTTTGTTTATTAAGATCCCCATTAGCTGCTGACATACAGCCGCTATTCTTCCTGGGATCTCGTCTCACACAGTCATTACATTTTATATATATACACATGTTGTGCACATCATTCATACTTGACCATACACACACACACACACACACACACACACACACACACACACACACCCAACTAATTTCAACATACTATTGCAGTGTAGAAAAATCACAATTCAATTCTCAAAAGCCCAAACATAACAAAATACATTATTAAAATTTAAAACACAGCTCACTTTAGAAGATGTTTAGCTTGACATTATCTTTGGGAAAATAAAAATATTTAGAGTTTTTTCTGAAAACATTTTTTATCAACTTCCCTCAACAGAAATCCTGGTAGTGCATTCTATAGCACCATTGCACGGCAGACCACAGTTTTCTGCATTTGATTTGTTCTGCACGTAGGTCCATGCATACTTTGTCTTGTGGAATAGTCATGTTTATCCGCGAAAAAAGACAAGGTGGAATAAATTACATTTGGATTTTTTGTCGTAATGATATTCCTAATAAACATTGTTCATGAAAACTCCAATCTCTCTCTTACTTTTAGCCAGGACAACTTATTGTGTAACAGATTTACACTGGTTCTATACGGACTCCTCAATACCATGCGCGCCTCCTTGTTTTGTGCAATTTGTAACTTGTCTAGACAATTTTCATTGGTGTTGGGCCAAACCACAGAGGCATAATCCAAGTGTGAAAGCACCAGTGACTGAACTAGTTTCTTAATTAAGTCAAATGGAATGAATTTCCTACAACGTCTGATAATAGCCATACTTCTTCCCATTTTTTTCAACAGGTAGTTAATCTAATTCACCCAGGATAGTTTATTATCAACAATAACACCCAATAACTTAAACTCACCAACCTGTTCAATAATAGTACCATCTAAGGTCAAGCTTAAGAGTGGATTCAGTTTTAAAAAGTGTCTAGATCCTATGACCATACATTTAGTCTTATTTGTGTTTAATATCAAATTGTTTGCTGTGATCCACCTATTAACAGATTCTAGTTCATTATTTAGAACAGTATTAAGTTGTAATACTGTTTTCGCTGGTGCGTATAATGTAATATCATCTGCATAAATTGCCATTGTGGCACGATCCAACACCATAGGCAAGTCATTCATAAAAATGGAAAACAACAAAGGTCCCAAACAACTACCTTGGGGCACTCCACAACACATCCTTTCAGTCTCAGAGTAGCTGCCATTAAAATAAACTGTATACTCTCGATCACAGAGATAACTGTCAATCAGTTATACAGAAGAAGGTTCCAATCCATATCACCTCAACTTTGTAAGAAGTATGTTATGGTCTAAAACATCAAAAGCTGCCCTTAAATCAAGCAGCACATTTGCAACTAGGTTTTTATTGTCAATTTCTTGTAACCAATCATCTGTTGTCTGAGTTAATGCTGTGGTGGTAGAGTGCTCCCTTTTATATGCATGTTGATATATTGTATTTAACCCATTCACCAAGAAATAACTCAGAATTTTTTCATAAACTACCCTCTCCATGATTTTACTCAAGGCAGGTAATAGAATGATTGGTCTACTATTTTGACCTGAAAATGGCTCTTTATTGTTTTTAATCAGCGGAATAATTTTTGCCTTTTTCCATATATATGTATGCATATATATATATATATATATATATATATATATATATATATATATATATATATATATATATATAATTTCTGGGAAGGACTCGGAGTAGATCTGCTGCTCCACCACATTGAGAGGAGCCAGTTGAGGTGGCTCAGGCATCTGTTTAGGATGCCTTCTGGATGCCTACCTGATGAGGTTTTCCAAGCACGTCCAACTGCAGGGAGACCCAAGGGAAGACCCAGGACATGGCGGACAGACTATTGACGCATTCACATCTGTGCCGGCCCGGTCTAGCCCTGGTAGGCTAATTGTGTTCTGGGTTATCTGAGCGTTTTCCGTGCTCAGCCGGCTGCTTCTGTTTCTGACCTGCTCCTTGGCGGTGAACATCGTGCTCAGTCAACCCAACACTACCGACTGGTTTTCTGGATGAAATTCACGGCTACCTATAGAGAAAGCCTCTGATTGACAGGTAGAGTCAGTGTATTTTGCCCCACCCACATGTTCGGAGACATCTGTATTCCTGAGAAGGCTGTGTGAACCACAGACATCATAATCCGAAGAAAACCTGGCCGCGCGGGGGGCGGGCCAACCCAACTGAGAATGGATCGAGCCTGGCCAGGTGTGAAAATGTCATATGCTTCTTGGCTGGGATGAGAACACCTTAGGATTCCCCCAAAGGAGCTGGCCCAAATGGTGGGGAGAGGGAAGTCTGGGCCTCTCTGCTTAGGCTGCTGCCTCCACGAACGGACCCCGGAGAGACGGAGGAAAATGGACAGTTGAGGATTTGAAGACAAAGATTGGAATCCACTGTACCATTAGCTCTGCTATAACACAACTGTTTGGTGATCCCATTTACACTGATAGTTGTTATGCTGAGTCAAATAAAAGTAGCTCTCTAAAAATCCACCTGCTAGATTTAACTAGTGATTGTTTTTCTGGAATACACCAGAAGCCCTCTAACTCCTGCTGCACAACCTTTTAAACCTGCCTCTTTTAAAGAGCTGAATCCATTTCCTCGTTATCTCATCGTTGCTGTCAAATTTAAACCCAGTCCCGGCTTTGAAGGCATCATGCCTTTGTGTGGGACAGGTTACTTCACCTTTTTACAGTCCAGACGTTTGAAGCTTGCCAGTTGAGTCATGTTAGGTAAAGCTCTGCGCTGCCGTTTCTGCCCCACATAAAAATAAAACCGCAAAAACCATCATCTAATGCTATAATGGGCTCAATTTTCATGACGTCTTATCAGTAAATTAAAGTCGTCTCTTTTCTAAAGCGTTACTGTAAATCCAGAGGAATCTTGGATTCGGTTCTTCATCAGCACTGCTGGCACAGAAACGTTCCCTCATATCTGGAAAACCATATGCTGCATCACCTAATCATTGGCCTTCCCAGGCAAACAGGCAGACACGCTCACAGCTATCTAATTGAAGGAAGTGCCAAGTGGTTATTTCACTCCCAGTGTTGAAATGTACCGGGGTTTTGACATGGTGCACTTGCATGAGCACCCCCTGGCTGAGATGCTCTTTGTAGCTGTGACGTCCCTCCTACACAGTGCTGTGGTAGCAGAGAGGCACTGACATGATAATTATAGTTCTGCAGACTGATTGGGCTGCTCCATTGTCTCCTGGTTCCTGAAATAAACCCAATCCACTGCTCCAGACACAGAAATGCTCTCATACATGTACTTTCAAACACATGGACAGCAGCAGAGTGGATTTAAATACAAGGTCCCAGTCTGCTGTGGTGAAGGAACCGTGCTCCGTTGTCTTTGGTGGACTGAATAATTAATAAGTCCAACATTATCATCCATAATCCTGAAAAGTTCCAGATGTTCTTGGATTTTGTTGGAATAAAAAGTTTCTGCATGCTGAAAGTTTCATATAGATGCAACTGGATGTGAAAGTAACAGCATAAATTATTGTTGATGTTTTTTACTTTAAATAACAGCATCAGAAATGATTTGTGCCATTTTCTCTGTAATAAATGCCAAAGCGTGTTTTGTAAAGTAACGTAAAGGTCAACCTGTATCAGGAGCGCTGGAATCAGACACATTTTGATGGATTTTTACAAAGTGAAAGAGAAAAGAGGATAATAAACAGTCTGGACTTGTAAAGCACTTTAACTTACCAGCTACACCAAAGTTTACAGGTGAAACTCGAAAAATTAGAATATGGGGAAATCATGGGAAAGTCAATTTATTTCAATAATTCAACTTAGACTGAGAGGCCATCTAAGGGCTCAGGAACCCTTTGCAGATGTTTTTGGATTCATTAGCTGATTAGAAGGCATTATTGAACCTTTTAACCATTGAATGTGGGGGTTTCATCAGCTGTAAGCCATAATAATCACATATAACAAAAAGGCTGAAACACAAAAATAAACAATAATGAACAAGAATCTGCTTCTAGACCTGCAGAAAGAGAGAAGAAAAAAATGGGACACAACAACAATACAACAACATCAAGCTATCACTGCGTCAACTTGATGGAGAAATATATAATCAACATTGTTTAACTGAACAATCACACGATAATAAATCACAGTGCATTTAGTGCCCACCACAGCCTTAAGACCTGTGTTGAACGTGCCCAAGTCCATACTTATGTGAGCACCATGTGAGCACGTGTGTGTGTACACGCGCTTGTTTATGTAAGGTTTCTCTATAAAAGCGTCCAATAGAGAGTGTGAGGGACCACAGATCTGCCCCCTAAAGAAGTGTAGGAGATGGAGGGAGCTCCAAGTCCCAGAGTTCCAGGAGCTGCCCCAGAGCACAAGAACCCCAGAGAGACTGCGACCAGAAAAGCCCCTGTCCCCCTCAAGAGGCGCAGAGGATCACCCCGGGGGGCCACAACCAGCAGCCGGCAGAGTCCGGGGAGATATTGGCGGCAAGCCCACAGGCCCTCCCACAGCCTCCCAACCCCTAGCCGGCCGAGCCCGGGACCCAGGGGCGACCACCCCCGCTGGGGACCCAGCAGAGCCCAGGGACCCAGACCCCACCAGGCAGCCAACTTTTTGATAACCTTTGAGTTTTTTATAACTGAGTTCTTGAGACATGAAAGTAAATTTCACTATAGTCTGTCTCTTATCTGACAACGCTTTTGCATCTTTTAAATCAACTGTTCCGTCTTTACCATCATCAGAATCTCAGAGGAACGTAGCAGAGGGCAATATTTTCATTTCTAGCCCTTCACAAATTGATGCTTTAGTTCATAATGTTACTTTTTTCTCACATGTGGCATTAGATGATGTTGCCCCTTTAAAAAAGAAGGTAATTAGGCACAGGAAGTTGGTTCCCTGGTTTAATTCTCATTTACGAACTTTAAAACTCTTGAAAATTGGAGAGAACATGGCGCTCTACACACCAGAAGGAGTCCTACTTATCCTGGAAAAATACTCTTGTGCTTGATAAAAAATAAGCTTCGACAAGCTAGAACTGCTTATTTTTCATCGCTAATTGAGGAAATAAGGATAATCCTAAATTGTATTGAACTGAATTGAACCCTGGTGTAAAAATGTTCCTATATGTTGCGCATTAATCTGGACTTGTCTAAGTTATTCACTTATTTCTGGGTTTTAGTTGTTTTGGAGCGTTTCACACTTTTAAAAAAAAGTGCTGATGTGTACCTGCTTTTTAGCAGAGTTTTTACATTAACGTCCGACGACTGCTCATACTGAACCAAGTTTTGTTGGAGGTTTCTTCCTGTTGAAAGAATCAGAATTTTAGAAATTATGCAGATTTATTAAAAAAAGACAAACTGAAAGATCACATGGTCCTAAGTATTCAGACCCTTAGCTCAGTATTAAGCACCTTTTGAGCTAATACAGCCATGAGTCTTCTTGGTAAAGATGCAACAAGTTTCTAACACCTGGATTTGGGGATCCTCTGCCATTCTTACTCGCAGATCCTCTACAGTTCTGTCAGGTTGGATGGTGAACGTTGGTGGACAGCCATTTTTAGATCCCTCCAGAGTCTCAATTGGGTTTAAGTCGGGGCTCTGGCTGGGCCATTCAAGAACAGAGTTGCCGTGAAGCCACTTCTTCATATTTTAGCTGTGCTTAAGGTCTTTGTTGTTGGAAGGTAAACTTTCGGTCCAGTCTGAGGTCCTGAGCACTCTGGAGAAGGTTCTTGTCCAGGATATTCCTATACTTGGCCGCTTTTGTCGTTTCCTCGATTGCAACCTGTCGCCCTGTCCCTGCAGATGAAAATCACCCCCACAGCATGATGCTGCCACTGCCAGACGACGTGCTCTAGGAAGGGCTCTGGTCGTCCCAAATATCATCCATATAAGGATTATGGAGGCCACTGTGCTCTTATGACCCTTAAGTGCAGCAGAGATGTTTTTGTAACCTTGACCAGATCTGTACCTCACCACAATTCTGTCTCTGAGCACTTCAGGCAGCTCCTTTGACCTCATGATTCTCATTTGCTCTGACTTGCGTTCTTCTTCTTCTTCTGGTTTTTTATTGGCGGTTGGCAAACAACGAATGGTGCATTACCGCCACCAACTAGTGTGGAGTGTGGTCTGGAACAGCGCTCAGAAAACAAAATCAAACAGGGGAAATATATATATATATATATATATATATATATATATATATATATATATATATATATATATATATATATATACTCTGACATGCGTTGTGAGCTGTAAGGTCTTATATAGACAGGTGTGTAGCTTTCCTAATCAAGTCCAATCAGTGTGTCCAATCCGTGTGTTTCAATGAAACACAACTGGACTCCAATGAAGGTGTAGGACCATCTCAAGGATGATCAGAAGAAATAGAAATCACCTGAGTTAAATATAGGTCTAAATTCTTAAGACCGTGTGATATTTCAGTTGGTCTTTTTTAATAAATCTGCATGAAGTTCCAATATTCTGTGGTTTTCTGTCAATATGGGGTGCTGTGTGTACATAAATGAGGAAAAAAATGAATTTAATTGATTTTAGTAAATCACTCATATAACAAAATGTGAAACATTGATGAGGTCTGAATAGTTTCCATGTATATAGGAATCTATTAACTGATCAGCATAATGAACTGAACTCAGTTGGGATATGTACTTTGTGACGTGCCTTGAGATGACTCTTGTCATAATTTGGCGCTATATAAATAAACTGAATTGTTTATGTTACCATTTACACGTTTTAACTGGGTTAATTTATTTTTATGTAAAGTATGTTTCTTATAATCGGCCACTGCAGAAAATAAATCATTAAGTTAAAATGTCGAAGTTGTAGCTTTGAAGGGTTTGAACTGTTCCAGGAATAATGATACAGCAGCAGAGAATGGGTGTCTCAGAAGAAACCAGAGTGAAGGACAATAACGATAGATAAATGGAAAACATCTGAGCCTGTGAGGACTGTGGGGTTAAATCGGTAGCTCGAGGCTCCTTTAGGGCTCTGACAGTGAATGTGATCAGGTGGTTAAATAATCTTCAGACCTTTAGAATGAGATCAAGAACTACAACCATCTACAGTTCTCCGAGGCGGTCCTGTCATTCTTACCTTTGGCTGAGTATGATCGTCATCGCTGAGGACCAGATGGCCTCCTCCCTCCCTCCCTCCTTCCTTTTTCTTACGCGACGCTTCTCGCCTTCCCTTCTTCGCGGCTCTCTTACCTCCCTGGTGTGAGTTTTCTGCTATGTAGCTGGATTTTGTGCCAGCAGGCAAACAGACTGATGCATGCTGACATTTTCCTCCTGCAGAAGAAAAAGCATAAGAGAGCTATCTTCCTCCTTCTCCTCCTGTCCTCCTCTTCCCTTGAAAGATGCTGTCAGCTACGAGTGGCCTTGTTCAACACCAGTACACACACACACACACACACATACAGTATGCATTATCTAGTGTCTCTTTCTCCTCTACTGAAGCCAGGATGGAGTCAGATCCACTCTGTCCCCATCAGCAAAGCTCCGTCTCTGAGACATGGCAGGGAGGAAGAGGGCTAAAGTTGGGCCCGACGAGGAGGAAATAACACCGTCCTGCTTGTGTGTTTGGGCCAGCTGACGACTGCTGGTGCCACAGTCAGAGCTGAGCTTCCATCACAGCAAACACTGGCCCTTTCTGTTTGACAAACACTAAACCAGCAGGATTTTGTTGAATTTCTGAGACTAAGAAGGATTGGATTCTTTGACTGTGCTTTTGTGAGTTTCAGTCAAACTAGTCTATTCCTGAGTCTGATGAATGCACGCGTGAGGAATGCTATCACGTTAGGACTAAATGGACAGCAGATTAGTAAATCACTGTCAGAAATGTTTATTTGGGGGGTGTTTGCTGTATAATTTTCTCCTGACAGGCCTGACACTTTGCAACGTTTTCATATTTTCTAATCATTTTCTTGAGCCAGTATGTGCTAAAATGACCCTTTACAGGGTTAACGAAAGGCCACCTAGCACCTAGCGCTCCCCACGGCCAGGATATCACATTGGTCTGTTGGACTTAGAAAAAAGCTGACATACCTGGCGCTGCAGTCTGCTTCCATCACATTTCCTGCATGTTTTAGATCATGAGCACAGCTGATTTGTTTATTTTAATGATGAGTCACTCCTGTAGACACTAAGAAAGGCTAGGGAAACATTTCAACTGTTAGATTAAAGTGTTAGAAGCCGTGTCTGAACTCTTACTTTCTTTATTATTTCGTCTCCCAGGCCAACTCCTCTCTGCTGACACTGCAGCCACTTCATGATGTAAACTATTGTAATGATTACTGCGGCCAGCGCGGGCCTTTAATGATGGGATCAAAACACAAGTCATACACACACACACACACACACACACACTCCAGCTTTCCTTTCAACTGGTGTGATTTTGTCACCTCCACAGATCCTGAGCAACAGGAAGGGTCTGCTGCCAGAACCCAACCTGGCCCAGCTGCTGACCAGTATGACCAACCCAGCGGCTCTGCAGATCCTCATGAGACCGTACCACAGCGGGAAAAGAGGAGGTGAGACCGCAAATTATAGCAACAGTCTCACTAATTCTTTGCAACCCAAACACGTTGTACATTGATGAGCTGCTGCTGGAGAAAAGATGAAGCGAGTCAGGATGCACAGCTGTGTTCCTCATGGAGTCTACACATCATCTCACAGAAAAAGAAAATGGATGGATATACACCGCCTGAAGCTAAATTGATACTCACATGAAGGACATCATGACAAACAATGATTGGCCAATAAACCAGCTGTGTCACAAGTCATATTTAGTCGCACATTTTTGAATGAAGGCTTCAGAGCTGGAGTGTCTCCCGTTGTTAAATGTTGTGGCTTTAACTCATCCCTGCTCACCCCCTTCGCCTCCTCGTGTCACTTCTCAGGTGTGACGGAGGCGAGGAGAGAAGTCGAGGGTGACAGCTGGGTGTGTGATGTACCCGATGAAGGCCACATGTGCATAAACAGCTGCATGGTTGTCAGAAAATAACAGAGACAGGAAATGTTAGACCTCAGGGGTTAGATGGTCCAGTACTGATTATAAACAAATCAACAGAGGTGTGACCAAGTCACTGCTTTACAAGTCACAAGTCTTTCCAGTCAAGTCTCAAGTCAAGTCCAAGTCAAAGACAACCAAGTCCAAGTCGAGTCCAAAGTCAATAATCTGGAAGACCAAGTCCAAGTCCTTTACTTTGAATTTTCAAGTCATAATCAAGTCATCTGTCCAACTTCAATTTAATGACAATGATAATAAATAAATTCCAGAAACAAGTGTTGCTGCTTTTACCAGTAAATCAAACCCAGAACCAAGAATGATTCATGATTTTAGTCCATGTCGCGCCACTTTTGTGCTAAAATATCAAATATGCTCAAGTCATCATCAAGTCAACAGATGCAAGTTGATTCAAGTCGCAAGTCATTGGGGTTCAAATCCGAGTCAAGTCGTAAGTCTTAATAGATTTTATCAAGTCAAGTCAGAAGTCATTAAAATAATGACTCGAGTCCAAGTCATGTGACTCGAGTCCACACCTCTGCAAATCAAATAATAATAAGAATGCATTGCATAAATTATTTGATTAATGTAATAAATGATGATGGATGGTGAAAATTTGAGGACATGTCGTAAAGTTGGTGCCTCTTTGAGTTATGCACAGACTACCTTCCTCGTAAGATGCAAAGATTTTAGGTTTGCATGCACACTTCAGGTTTTACATAGTCATGCAAATCTTAAAGAGCAAGTCACCCCCTACCAGAGTATTACTCCATTCCCACTTCCTGTTTAAAAATGCAACAAATGCTGTTGCCTAGCAGACCGAGAGGGCGGAGCTGCTAACAAATACACACACACAGGCTAACAACGACATTGTGACATCATATCGTACCAGCTAACATTCTAGGGTACCTCTTAGCCAATAGCGATGGCAGATTTAAATTTAACTGCAGTGCAGTTTTTACCAGACAACGGCACAACACTGAAAGTTTTAGGCAGAAAATTTAAATTTTAACTAAAATGCACTAAAGTCCAAAACTACTGACTACACGTGTCTGCAGCACGATTAGACACACATTTATATAGATTATCAGAAAAAAAAGTTGATTTGGGGGTGACTTGCTCTTTAAGGCCCATCAACGCCTCACACCCCTCTCCTAAAGGACTTGACCGATGATCTGAGACCGACCAACCGTCTGTCCCTCCGTTCAGACCGTACAGGCCTCTGTAACCACCTCGTCTTTATTATTTGATGAGTGTCTAATCAGGTATTAAAATGAAGCTGTGTGACATTAGCAGAACAAATGAGAACAGGAAGGAGATAAGATGGGGGGTTCTCTTAAACAGGAACATGCACAATTAAAGTCTAAAATTAGGGTCTTGATTAAATGTTAAGCTTTCTGCACCTTTTCTGATGGAGCCCACCATTAGCTCTGACACCTTCATTTATTACGAGACAGCCCAGAGATGCAGGAGTGATGTGCATGCACACAAAAAAAGCCAAAGAAAACAAGTACATCCAGTGCAGAGGTTGATGATTGCAGATGAATGCTAAACGGAAACAAATGTTTGTGGTTTTTATCTCCAATTTCAACACAAAATAAATGGCAATGTCTCTGTTATTGTGAACTATCTCATCAGGTAAATCTAACCCCTTCTTTCCACCGGAGCCGTCAGCAGCACGTTACTGCAGCAGCACGTCATAGCTGGTGATAGGAACCGCTGTGGTCAACAGAACCTTTTCCACCGGAGCCGTCAGCAGCGCGAGTCAGCCGCGTCTCAGGAGCAGCATGTTGCGGCCCTTACGCGCCGGTTCTATTTTCTACGCGTGACGCCTCTGAAACGGGTCAAGTTCGACATTTTTGGGGAAGGAAAGACAGGAGATCGGACGTGGAAACAGAGCGAAGCTCTCGAGATTTTCAGAAAAAAGAAACGTACTGCCTTCCGGTTGCTTTACTTTAAAAAAAGTTAATAACTGTGCGGCCCCGTGAGAAGTTATCACCTAGCTAACGGTCTCCTTTGTATTTCAGGTCTGTATTGGTGATTATAAAACGGACAGAACATAAAATACAAACCTTTCGGAGCCATGTTGTAGTTTTCTCCTGCTTGTTGTTGTGTTTACTGATGAAGTCACTCGTGTGACTTCGTGCTCTGTCGGTGACAGCTGCTCCCCTGCTGCTTCGCGTCTCGTGGGAAGGGCCAAGCAGCAGCGTGCTGCTGCAGTAACGTGCTGCTGACGGCTCCGGTGGAAAGAAGGGGTAAGTCTCTGCTGCGATTGAGTCTCCAGAAAGAGAGCTATTGTTCTAAAAGGAGCAATGTTGAGAGGATCGACAGTTGGAGTGAGAAGTAAAATTGTCCATCTTTTGTCAAAAGAAAAGAGAGGAGGAATTGAGAGACCTTAAACCTCTGAGTCTTACAATTCAGCTCATGATGCTCACAGCAATTCACACTTTCAAATGTGATCGAAACACCTCACACATGAATCAGAAGGGAAAAAAGCCCAGAAGACCCTGAGGAGATTCTTTTAAACATCTTTAATCATCGGAGTCCCTCAGGGGTCGGTGCTCAGCCCCATTCCTTCATAAGCACTTGTGTAATATCTCAGATTAACAGATTTTTTTTTAAGTTTTCCCCGGCAACAAAAACGTTGTTTTTAAAGAAAAAAAACAAATAATGTTTTAGTGTTTTTATTTCCTTTTTATGTACTCCACATTAATCATGCAATATTTAATAAAAAATGTTGGTATTTTTTTAATTAAAAACAAGAAAATGTCCAGTCTGCCTTTGTTTGAGCCTTGTAGGAAAGCTTAAGACTCATTTCCTGTTTCATGTAAGTTCACCTCGTCACGCCTCTCTAGGACACCGGCGACTGCTTCTCAGTAAAATTTAAACAAGACAGAAGAACAGATGAATCAGACTTTTAATGTCTTTTAAAAGGTTTAAAAAAACATTGAAAGGAAGTGGTTTAGTAGTCTTTAACTAGGCAGATGATACGGTCTAACACCTTCACGACTCGCTGCAGGGTGCTCCTGTTTCTACAGGTGCAGCTGGTAGACCACAGCAGCACAGGCTGTGACTTTTACCTGATGGCCACATGTCCGGTTTTACCTTTAGCAGTTTGTTGAGTGTTGGCAAATGCCTGGGAAACCAGAGCTTTCTGGGTTGCATTACTGGTGCGACTCATATCTTTTTAGTGCAAATGGCTAATCCAAGAAATAAGTCATTTAAACTCAAATTAATAATATAAATGAATCTGACTTCTGCTCACTTTGACTAAAACTGAAAGCTGTGATAGATCAGGTGGGTTGCTTCACATCAGAAAAGCACAGCTTTGACTTAATGAAAATATCAACTGTTAGCTTAAGTGGGTTTTCAAACGTTTGCCTTTTTACATGTGTATGAATTCAGATGATTGAGGCACTGACTATTTATTTATTCATTCATAGGAAAGTATGGGCGTAACAGCAGCCTGCCGTTCCTCAGACCTCCTCTCACTTCTGCGCTGCTCACGCTGGGAAAAGCTCACCAGGTCACCAGAACATCATCGCCCTTGCAGGACTTCTTCTCAGCGCGTGTGGATGTTGTTTGTTACAGTAATGCCTTTACTTTGCCCTTCAACCCTGCAGAACGCCATGGTTGGAAATGGACTCGTCCTGCAGAACCTTCTGCACATGCAGCTCGCTCAGCAGCAGCTGCTACACATCAAAGACAAACACATCAGCAGTGTAAGACACCTGTGTGTGTGTGTGTGTGTGTGTGTGTGTGTGTGTGTGTGTGTGTGTGTGTGTGTGTGTGTGTGTGTGTGTGTGTGTGTGTGTGTGTGTGTGTGTGTGTGTGTGTGTGTGTGTGTGTGTGTGTGTGTGTGTGTGTGTGTGAGACATACCTCCTCTTACATTTTCATTTTCCACACTTGACACATAGTAAAACCGAATTAGGCCGGAATCACTCAGCCTGTAATTGCCTTTTTCCTGTTTAAGTGAGAGCTAGAGGTGCCTCCATTTCCTTTGACATTTACTTCACATATTTTCTTTCTAAATGCCTTTTCTGTTTTCTTTAATTGCTGAGGAAAAAGCTAAAAACCCCAGTAACGGATGATGGGACACTTTCTGTAGAAACTAGAAGACCTTCTAATTTCCCTCTGTTGTCCTTCCAGCTCCTCGCAGGATTTTATGCTTTTTACAGTTACTGTACCTTTTTCCACTTGTGCTCCTGATTTGTGCCTGTGTCTCTTTCATATGGCATATAGATCTGTGGTAAATAGTAGAAACTGCAAGGAGCTAATGATAATGGATGAATTGTAAGAAGCTAGGAAATTAAAATTTTGATTAAAATCAGAAAAAAATCTGTTTCACTTTAATAAAAAAAAGTCCAAATATTAAATTTTGTTCTAAATTGGTTTCATGTGAGTGAAATAGAACTGAATTTCTTTTCATGCCTAAAGTCTCTGCTGGTGTTCACATTCTTTTAACTTTTTTCTCCATCTTTCTGTCTGTAACCCTCACACCCACACCCACACCCACCCACACACACACCCACACCCACCCACACACACACACACACACACACGCCTCACCCCCACTGCATTCATCAGGTCTCCAGTCTGCTCGGGGACCCGTCCAGGCTGCTGATGCAGAAAGCTTTGTCTCTACGGCCTCCAGGGCTTCTGTCTCTGGGGAAAGGTCTCCTGGGAGACTCTCCCACAGGTGAGCAGAGCTCAGATGTCACTTATAGCTCTGAAAACGTTCCAAACCATTTAGGTGTATACCATAGATATGCATGCTTATATATGTGTGTGTATATATATATATATATATATATATATATATATATATATATATATATATACACACACACACACACACACACACACACACACACATACATATATGTTATGTATACAAAAGAAAAAAGTTTAAATGTTATTAAAATTGTCCATTTTTGGCTATTTCAAGAATATTTTGAGCAGGTGAACCCCTACAAGATTAGGCCTACTTATCATATTTTAATTATTATTAAAACAGAATGTTATGAGTATGTTTACAACAAAAAACTATCACAAAACACTTGAACAACCACAGCCTGCAGTCTTTTGGTTGTTCTTGCTGCAGAATTTAAAGAACTTCCTTCACTCCTGTACAATAAAAACCTGAGACATACGCAGGTACCTCACAGCATCTGAAATTCATGAGTTAATATTGTTTCCGATGGAGCTCAAACTTGTTTGTTTTATTTGCGTTGGGTTAGGTTTTTTTTATTGGTTGCAGTTTGATGCTTCGCCTCTAGATGTCACCAAACCTCACAAACTGGACTCACTGGGACCTAACCTCTGAATGAGGGATATTGGCTCATTATCCTCCTTTCAGGTTGCTAATGTAAATGTTTGAGAGCATTTTAATTTTATTAATACGTTTATTTATTTATGCTGTTATCCCAGTATCTCAAAGGTCTTTGTTGAGATCTGGTGACTGTTGATAATCATCTGCATTATTTTCATGCTCTGGAAATCATCCAGTGATAAGAGCATCTTAATCCTGACTGAGAACACATCCCTGTAGTAAATAAATGTTAAGCAGTTTAAGTATTAATGTGTAAATGCTATAGTCTGGATTGAATGCCTCACGGTCTACATTATTGTAAAAAAAAAACATCCCCAGGAGCCTGCAGAGCATTTACAATTCAGATCTGCAGCTGACAATTTGTGGCTTTAAGTGGAAATTATACTACTCAAACGTGTGTGTGTGTGTGTGTGTGTGTGTGTGTGTGTGTGTGTGTGTGTGTGTGTGTGTGTGTGTGTGTGTGTGTGTGTGATGCAGAGCTTTCATCAGTCTCTGCTACCATCGATGACTTTAGGCTACATCTGCCGAGGTTATTTATCACTGCAATATTAGATTTGTAATATTTATGAGTGTGTGGTAGTGTGTGTTTTCACCTTTTATTGTGTGTGTTTGTTTACACCCGTCTGTTGTGTTTTTACATATTTGTGTTAAACCCTGGAGGGGGTGTAGGTGAACATAAGTGATGAACGAACAGAAAACACGCTTTTAAATATTAAAGCCGCTTCTGTGGGATCAGATGAGCCGAGCTTTCTGGTGTGGTTTATTTCATATTGGCTGAGCTGTGAGCTTTTTCCTTCATTTCCTGTTTACCATCTCTGTATCCAACTTATTTCACTTTCCTCACACATTCATTTCCTTTTCTTTTTTAATTTCCCCTCCTGTTTTGTAGAGATGGGTCAGGAGGCGGTGCCGTCTGCTACCCACAATGCAGCAGTAGTGGTGTCAGCAGCAGGTGTGATGCCATACCTTCAGGCTCGAGCCGCAGGAAGAGGAGACCAGAACGTGTCTCTGTCTGTGTCAACGACCCTTTCATCTCCATCCTCCACCTCCTGTGAGAAGCAGCCGGCTCCTCCTGGGACTCTGGTGAGCTCCCAGCAGCAGGGACAGAGCTACTCCCTGGGCATTAGTAACTCAGGCCTCGGCCCCCCTCCGCCTAAGCCCCCTGGAGGAATTTATACCTCAACAGGCCAACTCGGCATCTCAGATGGCAACAGCCTGACAAACGTGGTGAGCAAAAACACTCAAGTTTGATGAAAAATGTTCCTCAGAACCTCGGCTGGGTGAGAGTTTGTGCACATAAACATGCATATTACGGTAATTGCAAAGTATTTCACTTACATGCTTTATAATCAAAGATGTGCATGCTTATTTGATTCTGATTAGAAGCAGCTCTGATAAAGTCCTCAAACATCATTTGTTCTAAGTTGGTGTTGAGAGATAATCACCGCAACGATGTTCTTAAGGGAACTAATTCCTATCCCAGTGCCGTCTTCAGTAAAGGTCTTTTAATGTAACTAACAGGACAGTTTTTACAGGTTTCTCAGCTTTTGATCCTGGAACTGATCTTTTTGTATTCATTTAGAAGTGGAAAAAGGAAAATTTGCTAGTCAGTACCTAGCATGATCCATTTGACATTATGCTGTCTGATTACATAAACAATACAAACCACAAAGAACACATTTGTTTTGTTTTAGAATGCAGAAATTTTAAAGGCGCAACATGTAAGAATTCTACAGTGAATTAATTACAAAACAGTCTAATGTCTCAATCATGTAGGAAAGAAGGTTACACTGAAACAGATTTCATTCTCAGCCGACTGGGGGTTGTCGGTTTCTCTCCTTTCAAAAAAAAAAAAAAAAAAAAAGGAGATAGTTTAGGTTTACACTATGTGAGTTTATGAGGTGACAGGCTCCCTGCAGCATTTGTAATTCGACTCTGGCAGGCTAAAAGCTTCATAGTTGTTTAAAGATCCTAAGCCAGCAAACAGGAGCAACCCAGAAGTTATTTATTGTACCCCTAAGAAGCCACAGCATCTTTTTGTTTTACTCTAATATCATGTAAAGAAATAGTGGCTAACATTGAGCTAATGTTGAGCTAACAATGCTAACGATGAATTAGAAGCAAATAGTCAACCCTAAAAATATCTAAAGCTACTTTTCCAATTACCAACAACTGGATATTGCAGTGAAATGTGTGTGTGAAGACAATAATGAGGCAATCATGGCATTTTACTTCCTTTAATGAGTCGTATGATAGCAAGCTAACAGCAAGACCGCAAACAACCACACACAGAGACAAACTGCCGTAATAAGTGTAGAAAATGCTCCCTATCAAAAAACACACCAATGCCATATATGGCTAAATATTAATCTACTTGTCAACTTGCTGTGTATGACTTGTCTTCGCTCGTTGTCTAGAATGTTTTGGTGCTGATCAGTAAACTGGCCACAGCCATGAAGCTCAGAATGGGAGTCAGAAAGTAACATTTTTGCTTAAAAATGGACTGCAGTAACCACATTTGACCGCAATGTATATTTGTTACATATTGCACCTTTAAAGTTAGTGTCTTTATGAAACAAGTAAAACTCCTTTTTTTCCCCTCCTCAGGTGAACAGTGGTCAGAATTCTTTATTGGGTGATCCCCCTAAAGAAGTCAGGCTGCCCTCTAATCCTTATTTGAACCTGGCCAGTGTGATGCCAGGAGTCATTCTGCAAGGTGAGCTCACAAAAAGATTCCCATTAGGTGTGTTTGGTGAAGTTTGGTCTTTGCATTTGACCCGTCCCCTGGGGGAGCGGCAAGCTGCAGACATGGCCACTACTCTGGAAATATTTGGTTGTTTAACTCCCTAATCGAACCTCTTAATACTGAGTGTCAAGCGAGGACGCAATTGTGGATTTGAACCCACAATCTCCCAGCCTCAGGGCAGAAACAGAGCTGGGTAAAGCTTATTCCACAGTCTGAAATTAATCAGCTCTGAGATGAGTTCATCTGTTTTTTAACAAGGTTTCTTCATTATTTTTTAACAAAGCATTTAAACACAAACAAGACCCCCCCCCCCCCCCCCCCCCCACACACACACACACACACACACACACACACACACCACCCATCCAGCTACACTGGATTTAACTCAAAGAAGAAAATAGACACAAAAGAGTAACACAAACAAAATATAATAACGATCTTAAGAAATAAAACACAATCACACAAAAAATGTGAAAAACTGTCCACAGACACACTATCATAATATAACATAAAATGTAGAGAATTAGCCCTTCAGACTGTGTGTCCATCCATCCATTTTCTTCTGCTTATCTGGAGTTGGGTCACGGTGGCAGCAGGCTAAGCCCAGACTTCCCTCTCCCCAGCCGCTTGGACCAGCACTTCCAGAGGAATCCTAAGACGTCCCCTGGCCAGCCGAGACACATTGTCCCTCCAATGTCTTCCTTCAGGTCTTCTAGTTCTCCCGGTTGGACGTGCTCGGAAAACCTCATAGGTGAGGGTAGGAAAATAGATCGACCAGTAAATCTAGAGCTTCGCCTTCTGACTCAGCTCTCTCTTCACCACGACAGACCGGTACAATGCCCGCATCACTGCAGACGCAGCACCAATCCGCCTATTGATCTCACGCTCCATCTTTCCCTCACTTGTGAACACGACCCCGAGATTCTTAAACACCTCCACCTGGGGCAGGACCTCGTCCCTGACCCGAAGAGGGCATTCTACCCTTTCTCGACTCAAGACCGTGGTCTTAGATTTAGAGGAGCTGATTCTCATCCCAGCTGCTTCACACTCGGCTGCAAACTGCTCCAGTAAGAGCCGGAGATCATGTTCTAATGAAGCCAACAGGACCACACCCTCTGCAAAAAGCAGAGACCTAGGGTCTCATTTATAAAACATTGCATAGAATCCTTACTAAAACCGCACTGAAGCTCAGCAAAAAAAAAGTACTTAAGCCAAGAAGGTTTGTGATCTATACGTCATCAAAAGTTGCGCGTGCAGCCTGGCAACGAGAGTGAAGGCTTCCTCATTCACGCTCGATACTAAAACAGCGTTTTAAACCTTTTGTTTTGAAGTTCTGAGCACATAAAAATGTCGGGTTGTTGCGTGTATGGATGCCAGAATCGCTTCTCTTCAAGCAGTGGACTGAAACTTTACAGAATTCCGAAGGGAGCACATCCATTTCAACAAAATCAGAGGCGTCTGTGGCTGCAGGCCATCAAAAGGGTCGATGAAAACTGAACTGAAAACACGATCCGAAATGCTCGAGTTTGTAGCGCCCATTTTATATCAGGTAAGGTAATTATGTACTAAGATTACACCAGAAAGCTGGTTAACGTGTGTTCTATTAAATAAGTCTGGAACATCAAAATGACAGAATTAAACAAATTTATACGCTTAATTTCATGCTTCAAATTAACATTTCGTTCTAATTCATCTGCATTTCCCCACTGCATATTAGTATAAACTGTATTTCTCTAAAATTAACACGATTGTACTCTGAGCACGCTAAAAAAAGAAACCTATGCTATACTGACCCTGCCATGCAGGTACAGTTGGCTGTGAAGACGTAGTTCTCTGGTTTGTTTACTATGACCCAAGCCTCGTACATAGCAGTCTTGTGTCCTTGTCTTTGGCTAGGAAGGACTTCTGCCTTCAAACCGCAAAACTCAGAGTCTATGTCGTGATATTTTACTTTCTGTACGTGGCCACAGACAACATAGTTGTATGCATCTAACGATTTGTATGCCCGTAGCTTCTCACGTGTGTACTTACTGGGCCTCTCCACTAAAAACGTATATATATCGGGCCACTGGATATCTGGCCACGCACCTACATCTTCCACCCATTCCGTAATGCCACAGGGATCCGGGAGTCTGTTGCCATTCGTTAAAGTGAGTTTAATAATATAACATTCAAGATTTGCCGGTGATAACCCCGCAGCGTAGCTTGATAAAACCTGACACAACGCCATTCTCTGTTGCCAAGCTGCGCGCGCCTTCTCGCTGACGTCATATTGTTTACAAACAGTAAAAGGGTCTATTAGGTCCTGAATAACACATGCATAATTCAGTTCACACCAAACTACATGCAAATGATTGTTGTCAACCTACAAGCTGCTCCATGGGATATTTTCCTAAATTTGGGACAGCGCCCCCTAGATACAATTAAACCTTTGTAACTTCTACAAAAAAGCTCCAAACTATATCAAACATGGTGCGAGTCATCACGCAACTGCAATCAACACATGTATGTGCTTACTCGTTCAAATCACTTTAACTCCGCCCACTTACAGTCTTTTGGCTCTAGATGACCCATGCAATGTTTGATTGATGCCAAATTAACAGAATGGCATTTTATTTGGCTTGTGTCATCATGTGACTGCACCAAACACATTGATGTGGTTGTTGGTTCAAATCCCATTAGCTCCTCCCCCTTTCAGCTCTCTGGCTCTAGAAAGCACACACAAAGTCTGATTGATGCCAAACTACCACAAAGCCATCTTTGACTGGTGTCGGGGTGGTTGACGTTTCTGTTCCGCGGACGTGCCTGGTTGCCCCGGGCTGCCGGCCAGGCCGGAGCGGCGTGGAGCTGCGAATGCCGAACGACCCTGCTTACAGCTTTAATTAGGGTTCCAAGCCCAACGGGCAGGGAACCCTATTGTTTTTCTACAGATTTTTCATTATTTATTATTAATTATTCTTCTCCGCTAATACTGTATGGGCGCAGGAGCCTGAAATTGCCAGAAAAAATCTGACATGGCATTCTGATAGAAAATCCTGACCTCTACTCAGATTCGAAAATTTGGACCCAGAGTCACCTAGGTGGCGCTATTGCGGAGGTGAATACGTTTCAGCTAGTAGCTCCCAAACCGTAGGTCGTACAGTCACAAACTTTATATGTACATGATCCTTGGATGATTCTGCATCTTTTTTGTATTGGCCACGCCCATTTCCGCCTAACTAGATTTTTTGCTAGATCGCAAAAACTTAATTTTAAACACTAATTCGTCATTTTTCGTCGAATCAACTTCAAACTTTGCACATATGATCGATAGACTAAGCTAAGTCGTTGTGATGAAGAAAAATGCAGAAATATTGAAAATTGGGCTAATGACTCCATGTCAAAATCAGTGCGCTAGCTAGCACATGTCCTAATTGACGATATCTCCACCATTTTTCAAGATAAAATGATGAGACTCTATAAACTTACAAAGTATGAGCGGTAAGCCCTATCTACCAAATCTTGTTTGGATTCACCAATAGGGGGCGCTAAAGAGTCAAAAAGTTTGTTTCAGCAAAACGGCTTGATGGATTTCCACAGAACTTGGCAGATATGTTTATCATCGGACCCTTAAGCTATATTTTGAAAATTATTTAAAAAGTGGGCATGGCTTATAGGCTTTAAAAATTTTCACCCTTTTACTCATGAAAAATATATATTATGTACAGAAAGTTTCAAATCATATCAGTCATAGTGACATCTACAATCACAGAAAAAATTTTGAAATTTGTCCAATAGGTGGCATCTACTGATTTAAAAACAACATCTTATTATTCCGCATGTTAACATTGCCATGTGAGAATATTTTGGTAATTTTAGGATGATTTATGGATTTTTCAGGATTTTTTAAAATCATTTGATCAGTAAGTCACAAAATGAAACTCATAGTTTTTGTTGAAAATCTATTCAATCTATGGACATTATCAAGTATTTATATTATTCCTAATATACTCTTGATGTATAGATTATTGTTTGGTAATCTTTAGATCAAATATGGATTTTATAATGAAGTTTTTGTTTTGGAGTCTTTCATCCATTCAACCACCCAGCCACACGCTGGTGGGAATGAGCTACAATGTAGCCACACCTTCCCTGAGGTGCAATGAGAGGCAAGGCAGCATTTTCTGGTCAGAGTTGGGATCGATCCTTCAACCTTTCGATTACCGCACATGCCGCTCCACTTCCTGAGCTAATTCTGTCCCATGCAGAACGTGATTTTGCTCATTAAATCTTCACGTTCTTTGATAAGGAAACAGTAGAATTTGATTGTAATCACGATTGAGAAGTCAGCCATGCCTGTGAAAGATAAGCAAAAAGTTTTATGACGTATCCTGAGTGTTACTTTCATTGCGCCGGTTGAAGTGAGCTGACAGGACGCCGGCGGGAGAACGTGTTTTTGGGGCGGGACCGCATGAGGAATGGCGAAGGTGAGGGCGGGGCCGGTTGGGCGACTGGCGCTGGATGGCTTGGAACCCGTTGATAACTGCTTGCAGTTCTAGTTTACATTTATTACTGAACAGGAACTTCAAAATGACTTGGGCAATCAATTTGGAATGAACAATTCAAACTTTGAACTGTAATGCATCTATTCTTAAAAAAGTTTGAACCTTGGTATCTTTTTTAGCAGTTTTTAAGACCATTTATTTTTGTAAACTTTCAGACGTTTTTATTTGATGTGGCAGGCCTTGAAGCAGTTTCTCTCCAGCTGCAGGCAGAGTCCCTGCAAATAATAAATATAATTTACTTATAATAATTTACTGCTATACCAAAAACGTTTGTATTAGCAAAATAATTATTAAAAAAAAAACATTGAACAAACATTCATACCCTGGTTCACCGGAGATCTGCCCTTCTTCGTGGTCACTGTCTTCAGATAGCTATAAGCCTTCTGGGACACCTAATAGATTGTGTTGATTTTCTTTGAGGCATTTCCATAATTTCATGCCGGCTTTTCATGCTAATTATCTTCCCTGTTCCGTTATTCGCTTTCACCGCGGTGCTGTGCTCCGTTTCAATCAGGCTGTGCAGCAGGATTTCCCCTCGTAGCGATATTTTCCATAACTGATTGTTTCATGCTATAGATCGTTGGAAAGCTGGTTTTATGTACTTTTAGGAACCGTTGGAATTTTTTTAATCTGATCAGCTATTCAAAAGTTATAAAACGGGGCATTTTGGATGACAAACTCAGCACGTCTCTGAATCTGTGTTGTGATTCGTTGAGCTCAAGACAGGAAATCCCGGTGGCTACCGTAATGTATTGTATATGCACGAAAAGCCCTATTTTTAATCTTTTCAGCACTTTTGGAATTTTACAGATATCTTGAACGACTCAGGAATCATGATAATGAGAAGTGTGCATGTCAAATCCTGTCAGCGGCGACAGGTTGGTAATAAGAGAGTTAAAATGTTGGATCTTAGATTTAAACACACAGTATGTTCCATGGTTTCTGCCTAGGCTCGGTGGGGAACAAGCCTCAGGGAGGACAGCCTGGCACCGGGGTGTACGGCGCTGCGGTGGCTCCCGTGGTGTCCCAGGGGTCTGTCTCCTTCCCCCATAGCACCACGGCTACCACCCCTGCCCCATACAGCTCTGATACCTCCACCAACTTCACCCAGTATAACCAGGCCTACACACAGGTGAGCAGAATTAAATAAAGACACGTGATAATAGATGTCACTAGTGTGGGAGGATCTGTCTACAAAAGTGGACGTATGAGAATGAGAGTGGATTTGGCATCGAGGACGGACGGTGACTCTCCAACTGTCCCTTTATCATCCTTCCACTCAAAACAAGTCATGAAGCCCTCCTACGAGCTGTTTGTCTCCTCCGCTCGTCCGTTCCCTTGATCTTTCTCTCCTGTCACTCCTGTTTTCTCTCTCCTCTTGTCGCTTTGCCTCCTCCAGCGGCGGGTGACATATCTGATATTTTGCAGCTAGGAGAAAACCTAATTTTAAATGTTAATTACAATTTAGTCATCCAAACAAATGGGTTGTGGTTAGATAACCAATGAAGCAGTTGGTTTAATTTGTCTTGAAGGGTGAAACAAAGGAGAGGAACGGGGCAGAGCTGTCGCTAGGAACAACGGTAAATGAATGACGAGAAAAGAGCAGGGCGTGAGAGAGGAGGCGCGGAAATCAGCAAGAAAATTACTGAGCAAACATGATCTGTCTGCTCCGCTCAACTGATGTTTGCTTGTGTGTGTGTGTGTGTGTGTGTGTGTGCACGTGCACTGCAGGATGCCATGCAGCAGTGGTACCAGCAATACCAAGCAGCACAAGCTCACACCTACAGCACCGCTGCTCCACAGGACAACACAGCTGCAGACTACAGCAAGGAGCACACACAGGTGATCAATAGATTTGCCCAGACTTTGGGATTATTTCAGCCTCCTCTGAGATCTAAGCTGTAGTCAGCCTGTTATACGAAGAGAATTTTCGTAAATGTTTTGATCAAACCTTGGAAAAGATGGTGTGTGTATTCTCACATGAAACTGCAAAATTTTTCTTGCCTCGCTCTGTGGGTTTTGAAGAACTCGTAATGTTGTGGTATCAAAATCTGCATTGTTAACTGAGTTTGAGACATGTTTGTGTTTAAGAACACCAATGTGGAAGCCATATTGAATAGGGAAAGCTCCTGAAGTTCATGAACTAATAATTATTTTCTGAGTTTCACTAAAATCCATCTAATGGGCAAAACACCATAACATCTCTTGTCTGTTGCTTCTCTGTGGGCAAAAAATATAAACTTTCTTCTAAACTGTAATGTTTCTGTAACGTAAAACATAACTGGCATGCAACAGAGATGAAGGTTTAATTAGCCTTGGGCCCTGTCCATACTACTACTACACACATACTAGGGGTTGTGTCAACTAGTCGACTAGTCAACTTCACTGCTCTGTAGTGACTTGTTATGCCTTTCATCGACTAGTCGCGGTCACGTGATAATGACCGACAAGATGCACTCCTTGGAAAAGACAGTAGGTGACGAGCCCCTGCGCGTTGGGAGGCGATGGGCTGTGCCAGAGCGTTGGCATCTGACGCCCGCTTTAAAATGGACATTTGACCAAATTGTGACCTTTACCCTCTTACAATTTAACCTTCCCCTCACCCCCATCCTAACCTTAACCAGCTTGCCCATGCAAAGCTCTGATTGTTGACGCGCTCCAGACATCTGCGTCCTGAGCACGGCCACAGTAACATTATCAAATCAGGTGTCGCCACCTCAAAAACTAACACGCGATCGTTCATGTCGGCTCATTTCCTTTTATGTTTTCTGTCTTTTATTCGTGCCTGATGCGTTTTGCTGCTGTGGAGCGAAGCACATCACCTGTTTTGTCCTCCTTTGACCATCACACCGGTGTGGCCGGCGCGCACTCCGCTGTTTTTGTGGTCGGTAGATCTTTTAGAACTGCAGTTCAAAGGTAACTCATAAGGTGAATATATATGAACCCAGGTAGCAGTTTCTCTTTAGGATTGAGAGGTGATGCAGGAAGATAATAAACAGGCAGGACAGAAAAATAGTCAAATAAAAACAAGTTAGTTTTTGTACCTGCTGGTTGCAACAAACAGACACCACTGAAGGTAATCAGAAGTGAGGAACAGAAAATGAAATAATTATTTTAATGTTTAGAGCAGCAGGAACTCCGAGAGGCTGCAGGCGCATCAGTGAGTTTGTGGCCGCTGCGCAGGGGGAGGGGGGAGAGGGCTGAAGCAGGGGGAGGGGGGAGAGGGCTGAAGAAGGGGGAGGGGGGAGAGGGCTGAAGCAGGGGGAGGGGGGAGAGGGCTGAAGAAGGGGGAGGGGGGAGAGGGCTGAAGCAGGGCAATAGTAAAGAAGCAGAAACAACCGTTGTTCAAAGAGATGTTTAACTTTGAAAATGTGGGCGCAATTTTAATTGTCAAAAACTCCAGAGAACCAACCCGCTTCGGATGTGTGACATCATTAACCAAGTCATTAGTCAAAGTCGACTCGATTTTCATTACTTGACTTTCGACTTTAAAAAAATGTAAGTCATGCAGCCCCTAACACACACACACACACACACACACACACACACACACACACACACACACACACACACAGAATAATAAAAAAAATACATCCCACCCTCTGCAGATGGTCTCATCCTTCCAAGCTCAGGTTCTCTACCAGAGGCCTGGGAGCTTGATGGTTCTGCAGTATCTCCGCTATTCCTAGAACTGCACTTTTCTGGAATGAGATGATTTTCCTGGGATCTGCTTTAGCCACTCCCCCAGTTTGGAGGTTACTGCCCTAAGTACCGCGATGACCATGGGCACCACTGGTCTGGATCAGGAAGTCCCACAGGAGCTTGGCTCTCTCCCAACCACCTTAGGGGGTGTTTCCCACTTTGACCTTGGGGCTTCCAGTCCATACCCTGTACAGATGTTTCTGTACACGATACCAGCCACTTGGTTGTGGTGCTCCATGTCTGCTTTCCCTGCCAGCATCTTACTCCCTGCAGTCATGTGGTGGATTGTCTCAGGTGCCTCTGCATAGCCACCTTGGGTCTTGTCAGGTGTGGTAGATCTTGGCTTCTGTTGCTCTGGTGTTCAGGGCCTGTTCCTGTGCAGCCATGATGAGTGCCTCTGTGCTGTCCTTCAGACCAGCTCTTTCTAGCCATTGGTAGGATTTCTTGATATCAGCCACTTCAGTTATCTGTCAGTGGTACATCTCATGTAGGGGTTTGTCCTCCCACGATTTTATTTCCAGCATCTCCTCCTCTGTTCGCCATTCTCTGAGACATTCACTGAGCACGTCATCTGTTGGGGCCTTGTCCTTGATGTACTTATGGATCTTGGATGTTTCATTTTATACATACACACACATATATATATATATATTAAGCGGGTTCAGAAAATGGATGGATGGATGTCTTTAAAACCACAAGAAGAAGAAGATGTTTGCGCCGATGCCGGACGCCGTTTTGACTACAGCTAAAAATCTACAGCATTGCGCGACAGTCGTCATTTCCGGCTTTTTTCTGATTGGCTATTTTTGCAGACCTGCCAACCTTGTCAAAATTTTTTGAGTACCACTTGTGCAGCGTTTTTCTGCGGACTTTTGCAACTCCATATCTGTGCTCCCATCTTTAGCAAGACTGTATGGGGACCGCTTCATTATTTCTGTGATGTTGTCAGCATCATTCCAAGCCAAAGTTTTTACAGTGGCGGCTGTCTTTGTTCTGGCGCAGCCATATTATTTGGCCATTTCACTGTCTGGAAACATCTTCTTGAATAGAGGGCCTGCTTGGTCTGCAGCACACAATGGCAAGTTATGTTCTGCAATAAATGTGGTGAACATAGCTTCTGCCCGAATTGGTCTCAAATCACTTGCTTGATGAAAAAAATGACTATTTTAGGGACAGCATCTGTACTGGCCACACTCTTTAAATGTTTTTTGCCCTCCACATGGCGTTGACAGTCTGCAAGACACACACACACACACACACATAGTTCTTACTTTGACTAGTAAGGTTATAGACATTTTTACAGTTTGACCTGACTCCAAAGTATCATGTATTTTAATATTAAACAGTAAAACTCTAAATTTTCCTTATATAATATTTGTGCTTATACAAGTTACTTGCATTAAATTATTTCAATACAAATGAATAAAAAATAACATTTATATGCATTTAATGGTAATTATTTATTTTGTAAATTGCAATAGGTGTTTCCGTTCTCAAGAATGTAATATTAAATTGGCTTAAAGCACATATGCACACATCACCTGGGCTAATTTACTAATTACCTGCAGCTCCCTGGTGGCTTATGTCCACATCATAATTGCAGATTGTGCAAAATGCATGGTGAGGTTGTTTAGAGGGTCCCAAGTATGGCCACTGTTCTTGATATTTAGACAAAAACTTCTGAGACACATGGACCCTCTTCTTTTCGGCAGGTCTGCTAACCAATCCCTCCCTGTCTGCTTCTCCCTCATCTGCCGTAGCACGAGTTGCAAAACGAACTGCGACAAAAAGTAATGGCTGCATGTTTAAACTGTAAAAATAATCACATTCCTCCATATATACAGGCCAAATCTATCTGCAATGGATAAAGGCAAAAACACACACACACACAGTTTACCTTACCAGAACAGCAGCAAGTGGCGAACCGGAGGGAGAGAGGAGCAGCGGGCAGGACGAAGCAGGGAGGAGGGGGCGGGAGTGTTACGCTGTTGGTTAGGCAGCATAGTTTTTCTCTGCTTTTCTACAATGATTGGCTTAAACTTCTTCACCATGCCGCTGAGTCGTGTTGTCGGACACGAGTACCAGACGTGCATATTTGCCCACAGAACTCAACTCACGTGTCCGCAGCTTTTTGGATAGTTTAGAGAGGTGAATCGTACCAGCGTAAATAGATGCCAAATTGCGTACTGGCTACGCAAAATGCGTACAGGTTGGCAGGTCTGTTTTTGAGTTGGCTAGTCCCGCCCCTCATGGTGCTCTCCAGACTTGTCCACTGTGTTGAATAAACAGAGGGCGAGTCTGGCAGGCCAGGCTAAGAAACCCAAGCATTAACATTTTGTTTCTTTAAGTCAATGACGTTGCGGTGATTTACAAATGTGTGGGAATGTTTTACCTTTAAGATCCAAACTGGAAAAATGAGAAGAAGTGAAACTAGAGCCACGCTGCTGCAGAGGTTTAGCCAACAACACTAAAGAAATGCCTGGACTTCTCACTTTAGCACTTCTGACAAAAAACACGTCTGAAGATTCGTCAGAAAAGAAAGAGATCTTTACTCTGGATGGAACACTCAGAGCTCCTTTTGGGTTTTGAAAAAGATTTCTGAAACCATGATTTACGTTCTGTTATTCTCAATTTGTGTCTGAGCTTTGATGAAATGTGAATCCGACTTGCACTTAATGGTTCAAGAATCTCCAACTCAGTTTAGTGAACATTGCAAATGCATTGAATGCAGGAGCTTTTATGAGCCCATCTCTGCTTTACTCACCACCCTTTGGTCATTTTCTTTTAACCTGCTTGTTTTTCAGGCATCTGCAGCATCCTCCTATGGAGATTACACCTCCTACATGCAGGCTGTCACTCAGTACTACTCCCAGCCTGCAACAGCCAATCAGGTGTACACCGGCAAGGTAAACCAGACTTTTGACCTTTTCATTGGGTCCTGTGTTCCGAGGCTGTTGGCGACTATCCATTGACAAAAATTTGCAAAAAAATGTGCAAATATGCAGTTGTTTGCAGTAGTCCCAGCCCAGTGACATCACTGGCTCAGTCAGGATTCCCAGAAACTCGCTCCCTGTTTCTGCTCTGTTCAAATCTGTGGCATTATTTGCATGTGTTGTTAGAATAGAGTCAGGCTCTGAAGTGAAGTAATTCTGCAGCCGTCTGGTCATCCCTTCCTCGGTGATGCTGAGGATGTGAATCAGTCGCACTGAGCAGGATTTGTGTCTGTATTCCTGATTCAAGTGGCAAGGCAAGGCAGCTTTATTTATAAATCACATTTCAAACAAGGCAATTCAATGTGCTTTATAATTAGCATTAAATGGCATTAGGGTTTTAAGTTTCAATTTAAACAACACTAGAGTTGGGACAGATCTGAGGTCCTGGGGGAGCTGATTCCATATGTGAGCAGCACAGTAGCTAAAAGCAGCTTCACCGTGTTTGGTTCTGACCCGGTTCTACCAGCTAATTGTTACCTAGGGATCTCAGAGCCCTATTGGGTGTATATACTGGGATGAGATCTCACTGAGTGATTTATAAACTAGTAGAAGCACTTTGAAATCTATTCTGTAGTTTACTGGTGACCAGTGAAGGGATCTAAGAACAGGAGTGATGTGCTCCGTTCTCTTAGTTCTTGTTAAAACTCTAGCAGCAGCATTCTGAACAAGCTGCAGTTGCTTCACAGCTTTTTTGGGAAGACCAGTTAGAAGACCATTGCAGTAGTCCAGCCGACTAGAAATAAAAGCATAAATAAGTTTCTCTTAAGTTTGGTCTGGACATGAGACCTCTGACTCTTGATATTTGATGAAGGTGATGAAACGCTGATTTAGTTATAGCCTGAATATGTCCAGAGAAGTTCAGGTCTGAGTCAAAGATAACACCAAGATTTCTAATCTGGGTCTTTGTCTTTATTCCATTGAAGTTCAGCTGAGCAATAACCTCCATCCTAACCTTCTCATTGCCAAAAACAACAACTTCAGTCTTATCTTTGTTTAACTGAAGGAAGTTTGACTGCATCCAGTCGTTTACTTGTTCTAGGCACTGACAGAGTGAGTCCAGTGGGCGATAGGGCTAGGCAGATCTGGGTGTCATCAGCATAGCTGTGATAGGCTATGTTGTTCAGTATGACCTGACTCGGGGGGGAGCATGTAGAGATTAAAGAGTAGTGGTCCTTGAATTGAGCCGTGGGGGACCCCATATGTCATGGTGATCTGCTTTGATTTGTGATCCCCAATAGAGACAATATAGCCCGTCTTTCGGATATGATTGGAACCAGGCAAGGACTGTAACGGATTGTCCCACCCAGTTTGCGAGTCTGTCCAGAAGGACACAAATGAACAGAAATGTAAACCATTATTTTTGTAGTTTTTAAAGTCTTCATGAACACCAAACAGCCTGGGTGGAAGGTTTACTTCAGGGTTTATTCATACTTGAGCCACTAGAGGTCGGAGAAGGCATCAGCACTTAAGAGGAGAAAACAGATTCATGTTTCATTTCTTAATGTCTGAAGCAGCTGTTGTTTTGTGCATCTCTTACAGGAAGTAGATGTTTGCAAGCCTCTGGGAGTTCCTCTGCACGCGGTCCCTAACGGCCCCGCCCCTCCGCCGGCGGTCTTACCCACTGCTGCCGCCGTGCTCCCTGCCTACAGCACCCTGCCTTTATTGCCCAGCTTCCTGGGGACGCCTCACCCGCCAGCGGCCACGCCCAGCCCGGTCACACATCCTCATGCAGCTGCCACCGACTGGAACGCCTACTACTATGTGAGTGGAGACGTTTTACTTCGCTAACCAACCAAATCCAGAAGCTTAAGCTTCCCCTGACAGCTTGGTTTTCTTTCTAATGTCCACCTGCAGCAGCAGAATAAAGTCTATAACACCCATTTGGGTGTTCAGTGGTACTCAGAATGATGGATTTGTGAGTGAAAAAGTCTTTATTCTCCTACTGGAGCTGCTTCACATTAACAACAAATAAAGCAAGAAATAATTTGAGGTTGAAACAAGTAATCATGAGAGAAAATATGTATGGATGTGCAATTAAGGCTTTTTCTTATAAAAACAAATCTGAGAGTCATCACTCCTGCAGCGAGAGATCATTGTGCCTTGATAATGATTAAAAAATACATGGATTTTTAAATGATTAAAACATGTTTTTTTTTTTAAAATGAAATAAGCATGAGTTTACAGTAATAATAACCATGTTGAATGTTTGATTATTTGCCTCATTATTTTAAATTTAAAAAATGCTTTGAGGACACATTTTTCTGAATGATTAAAATGCGATTAATAAAGATTAATTAATTACAAAGCCTCTAATTAATTAGATTAACTTTAAGAGGATTTTTTGTTGGTTTTTTTGTACAGAAAACAGAGCTTTATAGGTGGTATGCGCACACACACACACACACTAGAGGTCAGAGAAGGCATCAGACATACTCTCCCTCTCACACACACACACACATAGGCCCAATCCCAAAACTCTTCCTGCAGTCTTCAGCAAAGTGCACCTGGAGAAAGTGCGCTGTGAGGCTTTTGAGTGTGTAGTACACAAGTGTGCAAATAACTGCAACGCATGCTGGGATGCTGGTCGCAGTTATATATGTATTTTTTTAAACCTTTATTAACAACTTTCAAACAACCAAACAATTATTTGAAATTAATTTACATTCACTGCTGCTTTGTGTAAAAGTTTCAGAGCATAAACTAGTCATCCTAAAATGAACTACTTTTATTAGTAATACATATTTTCAGAAAAGGCACTTGAGCCTTTTCTCCTGCAGCAATGGATTGTGGGTAATACCCTTTACCCAAGTCCGCATCGCTGCAGACTTGGGTAAAGTGCAGATCAAGGGCGCAAAAGGGGCGTGATCAACTTCTACACTTGCGAATCGGGACACACCTGGTCAGGATCCCATAATTGAAGGGCGCAAGGGTGGAAGTGTGAGTATTGGGATTGGGCCATAGAGCTTTGGAGCTGGTCTTCAACACCAAACTCAGCAAACAATTGAATGTATCTCCATTTTGATCTTAACCAGTTTGTCTGTGAAAAATAATAATATAATTTTAGATATTTTTTCTGCCAGTTTGTAGATTAGAGAGTAGTCGTCAAATAACAACCTATGATAAATCGTTTTAATGCTTTATGTCTAAACAAAACATCAAATTGAGGTATTTTTACTGGTCAGGGAAGGGCAGTCTGTATGGAGTCATCAAAGAGACAAAAGCATAATTGAAGTCTTCACTTCACTTATGTGGGTTTTATTTTCAGAAGCTTTATTGTTAAAGTATTTTGGGTTATTCTAACCAGAGTTAAATTTACTCTCTTTTTGTCATGTTTTTAGAACTATTTAACTGTTTTCGAATCAGATGTGATATCTCTGAGATCACTGCATGACCAGATTAATATAATTTCATAATTCAGTAGTTTTTTATTGTAGGGATTAACATGTTATCTGTTAAATTGCAGTTTTTAGTATAAGCTGATCTCCTATTTTCAAAACAAGGTGAAAACACGATCATTTAACACATAATAACATGTTAAATCTACCCTGGTACAGCGGTCCCTCGCTATAACCTTTCGTGACCTCGCTGAGTTCTTCGTGCAATTCTGCATGTTTTTTAAACAGCGCATTGGGTTCTGTATCCAAAGGTGCAATGGTTTGAACTTTTAGAGTGTTTAAACAAAAGAGAAAAGGGAGAACATGCTAATGCCTGTCTGAGAAAAGTGTATTAAGTGTGTAGGGAGGGGTTTTACAGCCTTAAAACGTTGTGGTGGTACGATGAGACGAGCACGTCTGCAGAGCAGAGGAGGAAAGAAAGAAAGAAAGAAAGAAAGAAAGAAAGAAAGAAAGAAAGAAAGAAAGAAAGAAAGAAAGAAAGAAAGAAAGAAAGAAAGAAAGAAAGAAAGAAAGAAAGAAAGAAAGAAAGAAAGAAAGAAAGAAAGAAAGAAAGAAAGAAAGAAAGAAAGAAAGAAAGAAAGAAAGAAAGAAAGAAAGAAAGAAAGAAAGAAAGAAAGAAAGAAAGAAAGAAAGAAAGAAAGAAAGAAAGAAAGAAAGAAAAAAAACGTGTTTGATATAGCGCCTCTCAAGAGAAAAATCACGAGGTGCTTCACAGGAACAAAAGGTTAACAAATAAAGATTTTTAGAAAAAATATTTAAAAAATCATAAAAATTGGGGAAAATTAATTGTTGTGATTTTAAAAATGTGAGGAAAGGGAAAGAGAAAATAAATAGGAAAGATCCCGGGAAAGGCAGAATAGATAAAAAGAGCAGAACAAGGAGAGGGTGATGAAGGTCACACCAAAGCTTGAACAGCTGAGTCTTCAGCTGCTTTTTAAAGGAGACCACTGAGTCCACTGATCTCAGGCTCAGGGGGAGAGAGTTCCAGAGTCTGGGGGCCACAGCAGCAAATTATCTGTCACCTTTGGTCTTTAGCCTGGTGCTGCACAACCAGTAGGCTTTGATCACTGGACCTCAGGGACCTGCTGGGGGTGTAGGGACTAAGAAGATCACCAATGTAAGATGGTGCTTGTCCATGTAAGGCCCTATAGACCAGAACCAGGATCTTGAAATGAACCCTGAAGTTGACTGGCAGCCAATGAAGCTGGAGGAGAAGCGGGGTGATGTGTGTGTTTTTGGAGGACTTGGTCAGAAGCCGAGCACAGGCATTCTGAACCACCTGTAGACGGTTCAGGGAGGTTCTGCTCAGACACGTGAAAAGAGAGTTACAGTAGTCTAAGCATGAGGAGATGAAGGTGTGGAGAGGAGCGTGTTGACTGTTAAATGGCTGTAGCGCATTAGTCATCAGTGCTCCTGCATCTTTATATCCAGAACGTGACGACGAAAGCCTGAAACGCTGATGTGAGTGTGTGCAAATCAGCCAGTTCACCTATGCTGGAATTAAAACTGTTGAGGCACGGACATTCTGGTGTTTTTTCGTGTGTGACTTCAGTAGTAGCTGCATACGCTACAAACATCTATAATAAATGTAAAAAAAATAAAAATAAAGCGGAGTACTTTGCGGATTTCACCTATTGCAGGTTATTTTTAGATCATGACTGCTGTGGTAGACAAGGGACCACTGGATCACGAAAAGTGATTTTTTCTTAGGTTTCTTTTTTAGAAAAACAATCCATCGTGTGTAAATCTGCTGCTGCTTTTTTCACACGGACCATTTTGCTGTCTGTTTCGTCAGAACCAGACGAGGGGTGTGAAGAGAGAGTACCCTCAGCTCGCCGTGCCGGAGGCGCCACCACCAGAGGGCTCTTACATCGGACAGCACTCCCAAGGCCTGGGGGGTCAGTACGCCGACTACTTCAAGAGGAAAAGGCTCTAAAAGACTCAAACCACCTTCAAGCCTAAAGGGAAGGGAGGCACAAACAGCTGGATGTCACAGCTCCCTCTAGTGGCTGCAGGCTTGCATCCCTGCAGAAGGTGTTGAGTTGTGTATGATCGGGATTCAGGGCTGCAGGTGGCACTAGTGAACGTAAGCCATAGTGCTCTTTGATTTGTTTTTATCTTTAGCACTTCTGTAAACACACACATACACGGTGTTGCTTCTGTCCTGTTCAAGCCTTAACTATTTAACTTAACCGTTTGTTTCTCAGCCAGCTGTTACCTGTAGCTGTTAGCTTTTTTTCTAACATGACGTGTGCTGAACTATTTAAGCTCGTGTGTGTACGAGCTGCTTTTGTGTTTGCAGGCAGCGACTGTCCTGCCAGTCTGATATTCTACGCTCACGCTTTGATCCGTCAGTTTTTACTGACATTTGCTCATTCCTAGCCTAGTGAACTAGACCAAATTCTTGCTTTGCAAAGTTTGGTCTAGGCACGCTCCATTGGAACCTCCGCAGCTCCTACCAGGACTCTGGCTAGCCAATCACAGCTCTCTAGAGGGGTTTCAAACACATAAAGAGCTGTGATTGGTCCATAATGGTGGGCCAATCATAGTGCTCTATCTGCTTAGTGAACAAATGCAACAGAGTGAAACAAGAGTATGTCACATTCATTGTCCAGTGGAAGGCGGAGATCATTTGAAAGACAACGGTAGAACCCGCCCCACAACCGAGAGCCGTCAATGGAGCGTGGCCAGACTAAATAATACATTTATTTAGTCTGGCTTGCCAGGCTAGCTCATTCCCGCTTCACTGCCTGTTATTACCCAGGATCTGCTTTAAATCTCCCTGCTGGGAATTGTGCGCGCGTGTGTTTCTATGCTGTATCTGTAGGAAGTGTCAGCCATTTCTATCCCAAAGTTTGGGAACACATCAGGAAACAAATGGGGTCTGAGAGCTGATTGAAACCATTAATATGGTGACTTCTAATAACTTCCCTTAATGGGAAACATTTGGGGAGGACAGTCTGTAAATTGTGCGTTGTAATATAATATATCTGAAGCCATGCGTATCAGACAGTAATATATAATAAAAGGAGCGTTTCGGAGCTCTTCTTTTGATTGTGCTGTTCTACAGAAATGGAAAAAACATTAAATGTTCTTTTGTCATTCTACAATATACTGGTATATATTTGTAATATAATAATATTCCAAGGCAATTCAAGTAATTATTATCATGAAGTCAATATATGAGACTTAAAATGTGTTTTTCTGTTTTTAAGCCAAGTAATAAGGCAGGTCTCTTCCTCTGCTGTTTTGCAGGAAATTCGGTGCAAACAGGAGCTTTAAATCCTTCTTGAAGTTATTAATTATTAGTTATTGTTGTGGGAAAGGATAAAGGTAGCATGGATGTTTGGGCTGCTGACGATCAAAGGAAAAACTCAAAGGAGGACGTTTATTTTATTTTATTTATTTGCTTGTTTCCAATCAAAACTAAAGTTGATAAAGCAGAAATTATTTGAGTAAAGTAGTCATGAGATCAAAACAGGAACCAAATGCTGAATCAGCTCAGCTGCAGAGACTAATACCCACAATGCACTGGATAAACACACAACTGGAGAATAACTGCATATAATTTGAACCAAAGATTAGTGAAGTTTCTGGTGTGTTGCTGTTTGAGGCTCTTATTGTGAAGGATTGAATTCTAGTTGAGCACAGCAGCTTCCCCCCCAAGCCTTCGTTTCTCAGTGTTTGAAGTTTTCTCCTGACATTTTCATTTCATCCCAATTTTTTCTACATTCTTCCCAAATATTTCTACATTTTCCCCAATAATTTTGAAACTTTTAATGTGTGAACCTTTATTTTGAACCTTTATTTTGACATATTAAGTTATCTTTTAAATGTTATTTCAACCTATTTTACTTAATTCTAGAAATTGTGATTTAGCATCTTTTTTTTTGTTTACTTTAATTTTTCAACTACACGAACTACAGCAAATCTTTCCCTACTATGGAAGCCCATTCCCGCCAATCCGGTTTGAAAAAAATATGAGATACTATCTCATAATTATGACTTAGCGATCTAATTGTTATGAGATAGCTAAGTCATACTTATGAGATAAAACCAATTTATTTAGCAATGGGAATGGGCTTCCATACATTTTCTCCATATTTATTTACAATTATTAATTTATTGTCTTCTTAGTGATCTTCATACGGCATCACATAGTCGCTTCAGGAGTAAAATCAGATTTTTTTATTTTACTTTAAGGAAATATTCAGATTTAATTGTCTGTGACATTTAAAGGATTAAAGAATGAGTTACAATGACATTTAATTTTCCTCTGGGATGATTATAAAGTATTTTTCAATGTAAAATCCTGCAGAATACCTTCCTTTTTTTAGATTTAACAATGAAACTTTTTTTTCTAGGAGAAATATTTGCCAAAAGTGAATTATTATTTTTACGAAATATTGTTGCACAGTCAGAGCGTGGACTGTTAAACACCAGAGGACTTTACAGGCCAAACCGGCAATAAAATAACACTCCTTTAGCTGTAGAGATGAATGTAAAAGCTGTTTGTTTTTAGCCGTTCTAGTCAGACGCTGATTTTTACACCTGCTGAAAACTTTTTTCTTGTATCTCATTTATTCTTTTCATTCTGCTCCCAAGCATTTGAATGTATATCCCTGAGCAGAATATTAATTGCATCCCCACGGTGATCACACACAGTTGAGATGAGAGGGTTAAGTAGAGTCCAGATCTGTGCTGAGAGGTTTTTCTGCTCCAAGGAGTCGGAGGTGTCGGCTTCAGTGTTTTTCACTAAAATCAGATTTAAGTTCAAGTAAACTTCTGTCTCTATAATAGCTTTGAATCCATATTTGTGCTGCAGATATTCTTAGTTTTAAGCATGTTTGTGGAGTTGTCGGGCAGAAACTCATCTTCATTGTGTTTTATTTGAAGAAAACTCAAGTTTTTTTGCTTCAGTCTTGATTTAAACACTTCACCTTCCATTATAAAGTAAGTTAAAACCCAACGAGACAAAGGCTCATTCGCTTGGTGAGGTGTGTTTTACACACACACACACACACTCACTAGCTTTGTTGTTTTTAGGCCGTTTTAACATTTTCTCCACTCAGGCACTTATCTTCCACCATGGGATCCTCAGCTGGATCCACTCTGAGACGTCTAGAGCCAATCAGACAGGTTTTTATGACCCCAGGATGACAGCTTGAGTGGTTGAAAGGATCTTTGCTCTTCCATCCTGGTGCATCTGTTTGTGGAGGTGAAGATAACAAACAGCAGTAAACATGTTGAATGTTGCCCATGGCAAGCTTTGTGAAGCCTTTAGGGGTGTGTGTTAGAGGATCTGATCTCTGAGCTGTTGCTGCATCCTGGTTCATCAGTGTTGTTCATGCTGTCTAGGTATTACTGTGAATTTAGGGTTCCTTTAATAATCGGCTCCAAATTCTGATGCTCCCTCCACCATGCTTCACATGAGGGGTGTCACCATAAGCTGGCAGTAAAACAAGTAACACAAATAGTTTGTCCATCCATCCTTTTTCAGCCACTTATCTTGAGTCGGGTCACTGAGGCAGCAGCTTAAGCAGAGAGACCCAAACTTACCTCTCACCAGCTACTTGGGCCAGCTCCTCCAGGGGAATCCAATGACGTTACCTGGCTAGCTGAGAGACATAGTCCCTCCAACGTGTCCTGGGTCTTCCCAGTTGGAAAACCTCACCAGGGAGCCGTCCAGTAGGCATGCTGACCAGATGCCCAAGCCACCTCAACTGGCTTCTTTTGATGTGGAGGAGCAGCGGGTCTACGCCGAGGCCCTCTCGGATGGCTGAGCTCCTCACCCTACCTCTGAGGGAGAGCCCAGCCACCCTGTGGAGAAAACTTATTTTGGCCGCTTGTATCTGTGATTTCGTTCTTTCAGTCACTACCAAAAGCTTGTGACCATAGGTGAGGGTAGGAACATAGATTGACCAGTAAATTGCCCCCGCATCACTGAAGACACAGCATGAATCCACCTATTGATCTCACGCTCCAGCTTTCCCTCACTCATGAACAAGACCCAGAGATACTTAAACTCCTCCATTTGAGGCGGGACCTCATCCCTGACCTGGAGATGGACTTCTACCCTTTTCCGATACCCCTAAGAGTACAGAGCTGGTCCGGTGTTCCACGGCCAGGACAAAAACCACATTGCTCCTCCTGAATCTGAGGTTTGGCAATCCAATGGACCCTCCTCTCCAAAACCCCTGAATAGACCTTACCAGGGAGACTCAGAAGTGTGATCCCCCTGTAGTTGGAACACAGTCTGCGGCCCCCCTTTTTAAATAGAGGGACCATCACCACAGTCTGCCAATCTAGTGGAACTGCTCCCGATGTCCACGCGGTATTGCAGAGCCACGTCAACTAACACAGCCCCACAACATTCAAAGCCTTAAGGAACCTCCGGGAGGATCACCGAAGAGTTTTTTTAACCACCTCAGTGACCTTGGCCCCAGAGATTGGAGAGTCAACCCAAACTCCCCAGACTCTGAAAGACGTGCCCGTGGGACTGGGAGCTCGTCGAAGTATTCCACCCATCGATCCATAATGTCCTGAGTAGAGGTCAGCAGCACACCGTCACCACTGTAAACAGTATTGGTAGCACACCGCTTTCCCCTCGTGAGACGCCGGATGGTGGACCAGAATCTCCTCAAAGCCGTACAGAATTCTTGCTCCATGGTCTCACCAAACTCCCACGGCTGGGTTTTTGCCTCCGCGACCACCTAAGCCTCATTCCACTTGGACTGCCGGTATCCATCAGCTGCCTCTGGAGTCCCACAGGGCAAAAAGATCCAATAGGACACTTTCTTCAGCTTGACAGCATCCCTAACTGCCGGTGTCCACCAGTGGGTTTGGTGCCACGACAGGCACAGACAACCCTGCAGCTGCAGCTCCGGTCAGCCGCCTCAACAATAGAAGCACGGAACTTGGACTCAACGCTTCCTTCGGGACGTGTTCGAAATTCTGTTGGAGATGGGAATTGAAGCTCCTTCCGACAGGAGAGTCTGCTAGAAGTTCCCAGCAGACCCTCACAATACGTTTTGGCCTGCCGGGCCTGACCGGCTTCCTCCCCCACCATCGAGGCCAACTTACCACCAGGTAATGGTCTGTTGACAACTCTACCCCTCTCTTCACCCGAGTGTCCAAGACATGCCGCCGCAGATCAGAAAACAACAACAACGTCAATCATCGAACTGCAGCCTAAGGTATCCTGGTGCCAAGAGCACCTATGGACACCTTTATGCTTGAACATGGTGTTCGTTATGGACAATCCATGACGTGCAGTAACAAAACACTGCTCAGATTCAGATCAGGGGGCCGTTCCTCCCAACCACACCTCTCCAGGTCTCGCTGTCATTGCTCACGTGAGCATTAAAGTCCCCCAGCAGAACGAGGGAGTCACTGGAAGGAGCACTCTCCAATATACAGGCACCAAGATGGGCGGCAACAAATACGCCCACCCCTGTTGTGCGCCTCTCAGTGGGAGCAACTCCAGAGTGGTAGAAAGTCCAACCCCTCTCGAGGAAACTGGTTCCAGAGCCAGACCCATGCGTTGAGGTGAGTCCAATTATATCTAGTCCAAACCTCTCAACCTCACACACCAACTCTGGCTCTTTCCAACATTCCACATACCATGAGCCAGCTTTCGTAGCCGAGGATCAGACCACTAAGGTCCCTGCCTTCGGCTACAACCCGACACACAATGCACCCGACTCCTTTGGCCCCTCCCACATGTGGTGAGCTCATGGAAAGGGGGACCCACATCTCCTTTTCAGGCTGTGCCCGGTCGAGCTCCATGGGTAAGAGCCCAACCACCAGGCGCTCGCCAATGTGCCCCAACTCCAGGCCTGGCTCCAGAGGACAGCCCCAGTGACTTGTGTCCTTGCGAGGGAACACTGTTTCCATTAGTACTGTTCATCATAAGAGGTCCACAAATAGTTTGTGCTACAGTTAAAAGTGTTTCCTAATATTAAAATTGGTTGCTTGATACAACACAAAGCAAATGAAACATGAAAAAATGACCATGTGTGACCATTTTGATTTAAAAAAAGAAAACAAAATTTTACTGGAGGTAACGCATGGAGCTGTGGGTGAGGACATCTGGATCTTCTTCCTGTTTAGACTCTTGCCAGTCAGCTGGAGATGCCTGTGATCACAATAAAACCTTTACTCTAAACCATTTGTTCAGAATGAACTCAGCGGTTCCAGCTGCCACAGAGTCAGAGATAATGAGCTGATGTTTCTCCTGCTGGTACTGTGTCAGAGTGTGTGTGTGTGTGTGTGTGTGTGTGTGGGGGGGGGGGGGGGGTTCTGGCAGGTAAAGGATGGAAAGGGGAGAGCTGAAAAACAACTCTGGCTGCCTGCAGGGATTTCTTCTGTGTGCTCGCTCAGCGTATTGTTGGTTTATTCTGCCAGAGTCCTGCACTCTACTACACCTGTAGAGACCACACACACACACACACACACACACACTTAGAATCTTACAGGTGTTCTAGATTTTTATGTTTTATTAAGCTTTTCACCTTGTTTCTTTACATGTGGAGCAAATTGTTTTCAGCATCAGCAGATTCACATCAGATGTTGACAAATCTGCTGAAATGTTTATAAAAGTTCAACTTTAAATATGATGATGAAACATGTGTATTATTTATAAAATGTTCTCAAAACAAATGAGAAAAGCAGTTTAGAAAAACTAGTTTGGGTACAACAACCTGCATTTAAACGCATTTTGTGTTTGGATGCTTTACCTGCTTTCAGCTTCAGATATGCTCTTCTACTCATTTGTAGACTTTTATGGTTTATTTTGAGATATTGTGCACTAGGGGGCGCTGAAGAGAGGCCAGACTGTGTTTTGGGTCAGAAGACGGGTTCTCAGATTCTGCCAGAGGTGTGGACTCGAGTCATTTTAATGACTTCTGACTTGACTTGATAAAATCTGTTAAGACTTACAACTTGGCTCTGACGCCAATGACTTGCATCAGTTGACTTGAGGAGTTGAGCATATTTGATATTTTAGCACAAAAGTGACCAGACATGGACAAAAATCATGAATCATTCTTCGTTCTGGGCAGCACTTTCTGCTTGTTTGAGCAAATAAGTTAAGCTTTAAGAAGCTTTATTTCTGGAATTTAAATGAAGTTGGACAGATGACTTGAAAATTCAAATTTAAGGACTTGGACTTGACTTGGACTCGACTTGACACTTGGCTGGAAAGACTTGCAAAGCAGTGACTTAGTCACACCTCTGGATTCTGCTGCATCCATCAGCGCTTAATGCATTCTAACTGCTGGTTGTCGTTTACAAGTCGTTTGCTTCTTTTGAACGAAACACTTCACAAATTTCGTCCACGCAACTTTTTATGGTTTTTCTTTTGATTTAAACCCATTTTAGGTTCAAATTGTTCTTTTTGGAATATTTACAGACCATAGTTTACTGGAGAGGAGGATCAAAACAGGGTCTCTGACTGTCCTGTGACCTGAAATGAAAAACACAAGCCCACGTCACAAGGATCAGTCTATGCTGAAGACCTCCATCTGTTAGACTCTCAGCTGAGGACAAAGGCTCGTCCTTCATTTTCAACAAAAGCACTATTCTATTCATATAATCTGTATTTTGGTAGCCTTCGCCTTAAATCAAGGTTCAATCCAGATTACTCTGTCCTGTTTAATGCCTACGGACTGCTGAGACAGTAAATGAGTGTGTGTGTGTGTGTGTGTGTGTGTGTGTGTGTGTGTGTGTGTGTGTGTGTGTGTGTGTGTGTGTGTGTGTGTGTGTGTGTGTGTGTGTGTGTGTGTGTGTGTGTGTGTGTGTGTGTGTGTGTGTGTGTGTGTGTGTGTGTGTGTGTGTGTGTGTGTGTGTGTGTGTGTGTGTGTGTGTGTGTGTGTGTGTGTGTGTGTGTGTGTGTGTGTGTGTGTGTGTGTGTGTGTGTGTGTGTGTGTGTGTGTGTGTGTGTGTGTGTGGATCTCAGCTTTACAATATTTGATGTTTTCCGATTCATTTGCTGTAAATAATTTCTGGTTTGCTGTGCTTGCTGCTTTGCAAACAGCTTTTTGTTTTTGTTTCCTAACTTGAAATAAAAATGTAGATTTTGCAAAAGTTTTATATCACACTGATGTTTTACTGTGAATAAGGTATTTCTACAGCAATCTGGGCATGTTGAATTAAAGCTGTACCATAAAGAGCTTTTCAGTAGTTATCATGGCTTTGGGTTTATTTATCTATCGTTTTTTATTTCTATTGTATTCCCTCTTATTTAGAGCAGAAGGAATTGTCTTTTATATTCCTTAATAAAACGTGGACCGAAGCACACGTGATTCTGGCAGTGCCTTTTTGTTTCCACCAGTTGCAGCGAGGCGAGACAAACCAGTCACTAAATCACCTGGCCAGGTGAGTGAAAACCCACAGACACAAACCCATAGATACACATTTTTATATTCTCTCAAATATTGGCAAGTTTGCAGAAAAAGGACAAAACTCAGACGCATAATTACGACTTTTGATGAGATTTGTGTGTCGGTGCAAATCTTTAAAGCATCTTAACTAAACAGATGAATGTAAAGCTACATAGTGAAGTTCTACTGCCCTCAAGTGTCTCCAGTAGGTAGGGCCAGCTGATCACATAAAAGCTCCATTTGGTTATAATAATGCAAAAGTTCAAAGAGGTCTATGTTCCTGTGCAAACGCAGCTAAAACACGTTCACTTTAGGTAAAAGTAACATTTCTGAAACTAGAAAATCCTATGCAGCACAAAAGATGCTGCGGTTTTTGTTTATAGTCCAATCCAAACATCACAGTTATGATTTTTAAAGAGCAAGTCACCTCCAAATAAACATTTTTTTTTGCTGATAAACTAAATAAATGAGTGTCTAATCGTGCTGTAGACACGTGTCGTCAATAATTTGGCACTTCAGTGCATCTTAGTTAAAATTTAAATATTCTGCCTAAAACTGGCAGTGTTGTGCCGTTGTCAGGTAAAAACTCTGCACTGTATTTCAATTTAAATCTGCCACCGTTATTGGCTAAGAAGTATGCTATGATGTAAACTGGTACATTATGATGTCACAATGCTGTCGTGAGCCTGAGTGTGTGTGTATTTGTTAGTGGCTCCGCCCTCTCGGTCTGCCACTTAACAGCATGTGTTGCATTTTTCAAACATGAAGTGGGAGTGGAGTTAGACTCTGGTAGGGGGTGACTTGCTCTTTAAGAACAGAGCAGTGAAAGTATCCTGCTGACTGTACTGGCTCTAATTGAATCCCACCTCTCCCCAGCTGCATTTGCACATCATGAACAGTAAATCCAGGCACAGTGATGCATATCAATCATGATACTTACACATACATATTTACATAGATAGATGGTGGGCAGCGTTTCCCTTATGAGTCCATAAATCAGCAGTGGCACTGAACCACCAGTCTGCCACTAACAGCCAGTCTTCTCTGCTCGGTCTCCATCTCAAACATCGATCAGTGATGAACTGATCGCTACATCCTCAGCGAGCTGCAGGAGTCCTCATAAGTTTGACAATTCACGAAAAACAAAAATAAAAATATCGACTCACATTTGGAACGCTCTAAGGTGTTTGGATTTCCTTTCTTCAGGATTAGAAACCCTCAAAAAATAAAAATCTATGGTAAACTAAAGTTAAGGCTAGACTTTAGTTTTTCTATGATGGTCGTGGAAGGTTTCCGTGGGAGTTTGCTGAAGCTGCGGCTTGGAGTCTGTTCCTGAGCAGTGAAGCTGCACAAAGCAGATGCTGACCTGGGATCAGTTTGTTTCCCCGTCAGCCGGCGAGGCCAGCGTCACTCCCGAGGCTCCGACGGTCAAGCCTTCACAGCTGGTGTTGGTGCTGAAGCTGCTGCTGCTGCTGCTGCAGGATGGACAGCTCATCAATCAGACGGCTGAAGGCGATTCTCCTCTCGGGCTGCTGCTCCCAGCACCTCATCATCAGGTTGTAAACCTGGACACACACGGACTCCGTAAGAGTGCCGCTGCTTTTGCTGGTGTTGTGTAAAACACTATGCAGCAGAGTATGACTCATATTTCCCCGTGATGATAAAACGCATACTTTCACAGTGTATAACTGAGTATTTTCACCCCTTAAAATTACAGGTTTACTGAACACAATGGCGTTTTGTTCCATGGGCGTTGGCCGTCGCTATGGAAACCACTACAACTACTACTTTGTCTGCCCAAAATAAGCAGATCTTTGTTTTTGAGGCTAAAGCTTTTCTAGATCGAACATTTGCTAAACTTCTTAAAGATTAAAAATCGTTCTAAATCAACCAGCTGTCTCTAAATCTCCCAACGTTTGCAGGCATGCAGGAAGAAACTAAAGCAGATCTACTGAAAGCACTGAAATCGATGCTTCCTGTATAAATCTGGAGACATTTTGATGTCTAAATGTTAAGTTGTCCCTCGGACTAGGTGTCGGACTCGCGGTCCTGGTTCCATCACTCTGGAACCAGCTCCCACAGTCAAGAAGGCGGTCTACTTCTTTGTCGGCCTTTAAGAGTCGCCTGAAAACCCTTTTTTTTTTGTTTAGCATTTCCTGAACATGCTTGCAGTTGGCTTACTTTTATGTAGTTTTTATTATTGCTTTTAGTTGTGTTGTTTCATGTTCAACATTTTAATTACTTTTATCATGATTGTGTTTTGTTCTTCAGCGCCTTGGCCTCCAGTAATGGGTGAGGAAGGCGCTATATAAATAAAGCCGTAACTGATTGATTAAGACATTCCTTTTGGGGACAGCAGTAGCTCGGGAGGTAGAGCGGGTTCTCCAGTAATTGGAAGGTTGCAGGTTTGATCTCGGCTTCCAACAGAGAATTCTGCTGTTGTGTCCTTGGGCAAGACACTTAACCCACCTGACCTGCTGTTGGTAGTCGGAGGGACCGGTGGCGCCTGTGCTCGGCAGGCCTCGCCCCAGAGCAGCTATGGCTACATTGTAGCTCATCACCACCAGGGTGTGAATGTGTGGATGATCGATTGTGTTGTGAAGGGCCTTGTGGGGGGGGGGGGGTGTAGAACCCTAAGAAGGTTCTATACCAGGGGTCGGCAACTCGCAGATCTTCCATCCATCTGATGCGGCTCTCTGTGCTTGTAAAATAATGAATGGATATTTAAATAAAAAGCTTTAGATTTTACTGCATTAATTTTACATCTGTATGCCAATTCTAAATGTAAAGATTGTCTGCGTAAACCTGAACAGTTCCAATCCGATCTTACTGTGAGACGCGGGTTGACGCGTCACGCTTGTGCGTAATCATATCGGCGCTTTCTGAGCTGACGAGGATGTGAGATTCTGGGCTTCTCCTCAGACGGCTCCTGGATGTTTCGCCACATTGCAGACAGGAACAAGTGCAATTCAGCCAAAGTTTCATAATCAGGGAACATTTTCTAAGTGACAAGTCTCGCTTCAGTGGGAGGAATCTTCCCACATGCGCTCTGGTTCTGCGACGTGCTCCAAGCCCCTCTCCACATCTTCAGCTCGCTGTGCACCGTACGTACGCGCTGACAGTGAGCTGCGCTGAGCAATGTCCAGCCCAGATGTTCAGATGGGAATCTTTTCTTGAGTGATTTAGCTACATCTGCGATGTGCGTAGAATAAAGTGTCAGTTCGTCTGCATGCGTCGGAGTAATTCTTTCTATTCTTTCTCCGTCAAAATAAACGGTCAAATACGGGAACTGTCCGGTCAACACAACACAAGCCCTGCTTTTAACTGTTCTGTTTTCTTGTGAAAATTGTTGCAAAGAGATTAAATTAAACTTGATTAACACCAGAGCCAGGCGCACTGCGCCGTTATCTCCGTCGCTGTACATGAGGGAAAATCAAATTGATCAGATCCTTTTCTGACCTCCCCCACCAACAAAGTTTAATTACAACAATCAAACGTGACAGAGCCTGGATTTGTATTCTGAACAGTCTAAACATGTTTTAAAAAGAAACGTATAACAAAAGTGGCACCTGCTCAGTAAAACCACCAACAGGGTGAAAAATATCAAAATATTGTAGCAGAGACGGGCTACAAATTCTGGATCCATTCTATATAAATCGTTTTATTGATTATCGTCTTATGAAAGATAGCTTTGACGTACACGAGCGACCGGTACTGGCTGCTGTCACCTGTTGTGAGCAGCGCTCTGCTGTCTGACGGTAGGCCCCGCCCACAACGCCGCGGCTGCTGTGGCTCCCAGTGTTTTCTTTACTGTGGGAAACGGGTAATAATGGCTCTTTGATGGGAACAGGTTGCCGACCCCTGTTCTATACAAATACAGGCCATTTATCATTTACCAAAGTGGGATTGAGATACTCACAGCAGTAGGACAGCTGTCTGGGCGTGGCAGCCTTCTCCCATCCTGCAGCATCTTCACCAAGCGCATGACCGTCATCTGGCCGTGAGTCTGACCGATCATATTGAGGAAAACCTGGGGAGGTGAAGACAAAATCACATTACAGATTCCAATCCGTTCAGTTTATTTATATAGCACCAAATCACAACAAGAGTTGTCTCAAGGCAAAAAGCAAAAATTCCAATTGAGTTCAGTTCGTTATGGCAAAATAGTTTAAAGCAATCCTCATGCTAAGCAAGCATGTAGCGACAGTGGAGAGGAAAACTCCCTCTGAAACACACTAAAACGTAGAAACTTCTGATGTTATTTTTACTCTTTGGGAACGTTTTTTATAGTTCTTAAAGGTCTTGTTCATTGAGAAGCATTAACACTTGAAACACCATCAGTCACTCTGAGCTTCACATGCAGGCTGAACGTGAAGATGTTCTTCAACCTCCGTCGCCTGCATTAGCCGCAGAAAGGAAATAAAGACCAGAAAAAGCCAGTCTCTTCTATGTCAGAGTAAACTAGTATTCATGGCCCCGCCCACCTTGGCTTACGACAGCAGGATGCTGTCGATTTAGCGGCCAGGAGAGAGCAGAGTGTGTCTCGACTTTTAGAAGCTAACCATTAGCATTAGCAACATGGGGGAACTTGCTCAGACTTGCGTTATTCGTGGAGATAAAACATCAATGTTGCATTTTTTTAAACCATTAAAGAAGAGCGAACAGAAACACCAGAAGAGTTACGTAGCTGTTGGCCAATCAGAGTAGAGGTGTTTGCACATCGCAATCCTGCAGTTTTCTGCCTCTCAGTCCTCAGACTAACTTCTATCCTGAAACAGGAGCGCCAGAGCTTTATTTCCACAGAAAACAAATCACTGGGCATTTGTTCACACTAGTATAACGACTGACAGATCTTTAACTAAAAGGAAAAAGCTGCAGCTGACTGCAGTTTATAAAACTGATCATCTATCACTGCTCTCAGGAATTATTTGATGCATCTGTTTGTCTGTATGTTCCATCAAAGCTAATTCCTGGCAATAAAACTGATTCTAATTCTGCTGATTTTAGTTACTTTTCTTCCGCAATCAGAGGAAAATCTGATTATAGAACAGTTTGATCCTAATATTTTCACACTAATTGATTCACTTGTGTTAAAACTTTGACACTAGAGCTTCTGCTTCCTGTTTGGTCCTTTTAACATTTCCTTTACAGACGACTTATTCAGGTCCTAATTAGTCAGAAATCAGTTGAAACAACCGATTCGGTAAGAATCCAATGAACATAACAGATCGTCTCCAAAAACGATGCCTGCAGCTCTGGCATGGTCTAGTGGTTGGAATGCTTCTGGTAGAATGTGTCATCTGCTGCTTTGGCTAAAAACCCGTGCCATCTGCCACGTGCAAACGAGCGTACGGCCAGGAGTTGTCTGTCCCTGTGGATGTATTCAGCGGTTTGATTCTCATGGTCTACTCGTGAAACCTACACAACAAGGGTGGGAGTGTTTTGGGGGGATGGGACTGGACACTGACCGTCATGGGGCTCTTGGAGGAGTCGCAGTAGGTGATGATTTCATACATCGTCACCCCAAAGGACCAAACATCTGAAGCCAGGTAAAACTTGCAGTGAGTCAGACACTCTGGGGCGTACCTGTAACACAAAAGCACAAAGCGTTAGTGATCCATCTGCGTTCATGTGTTCAACAAAAAACATTAGAAAATTAAAACTAGATTACTAAAGGAGAACTAATTCAATATTTTCAGATTTAGATCTTTTTTGTTTTTATAGATTACAGCCTGCCTATAGAAAGGCTAACGAGTCATTCGAACAGGACCGAGCCCTTTAGGCCTCAGCTCTATGACCTCACACACTGGACGCAGCTGTACCAGCGTGCCAGAGCAATCACACTAGGGGTAAACGGATACGTCGAGCCGATATTTACTATTTTTTTTTATATATATTGGCACTGGCAGATATACTTCCTTAAAGAAGCTGATTTAAATGTGTGGTTTATGGAAAAAACCTTTTTAAATGATTATTTTGGATTATAATCACTGAGTTTTTTCTGCAGGCTGAACATGAACATAATCTCCTACACCTGTCTTCTGCATTAGCTTCTGATAGAAAATAGACGGTAAAACTCTAGGATTAGAAAAGCCTGACAGATCTACGTCACACTTTCATTTGGACTTACCCATAATGACTCGGGTGACGGGGAAGGCTGTTGTTGTTTTAGCATCCAGAATCAGCAGAAACTGTCTCTTTCCACAGAAGCTAACCATTAGCATTAGCAACTCCAACACATGGCAGAAGCTCTTCTAGACTTGTTTATTTGTGGAGATAAAACATCCATCTTCTCGGGCAAACAGAGCTAGTGGTAGACGCGTTGCTTTTATCCAGTCGGAGGCTAAATATCAGGAAATAGGACTAAATTCTCCCGTTTGAAGCACATGATGTCGCAGACTTGGTCCTGATTAGCCAGGGGTTTGTGGGCTTTTTTGTGCCCTGAGTTCTGCCTGCAAGGCATTCATTCCTACTAGAGACCACTGCAATTATATTGATTAAATGAGAAATCCACCCCTTTAAAGTCAGGCAGATCCCGGGCAGCCTGGTTCTGCTGCAGAATTCCATTTGGATATATATTACATCATATATTCCATAATAAAGGCTCTAAAATACCTTTACTAGTTTTGAATATTTAATTCTTGGTCAGATAACAGATTTGTTTGACTTTAGTTAAATGTGTGATATTAATTTGTGTGATTAATGTGTGATTTGGGGCAGCAGTAGCTCAACAGGTTGAGCTGGTTGTCCAGTAATCGGAAGGTTGCAGGTTCGATCCCGGCTCCGGACAGAGAATTCTGCTGTTGTGTCCTTGGGCAAGACACTTAACCCACCTCGCCTGCTGGTGGTGGTCGGAGGGACCGGTGGCGCCTGCGCTCGGCAGCCTCGCCTCTGTCAGTGCGCCTCAGAGCAGCTGTGGCTACATTGTAGCTCATCACCATCAGTGTGTGAATGTGTGTGTGAATGGGTGAATGATACACTGTAGTGTAAAGCGCTTTGGAGTCCTTACTCTGACAGGTGCTACACAAGTGCGGGTCATTTATCATTAACACCGAGCAGTGCACTAAATAAAGATTTAGCAGTTTGTTAAATTCGGTGGTCAAAAAAATGATTCAGCTGCAGAAACTGTGTGCATCAACTGGTATTAGTGACATTTAAACCTGTAAATGAGGTAGAAAACGTCTATCTGCCCAGAAAATCTGCAGCACATATCAGCCGCTAGCTGACCGTGACCTCTACGTATCAGTATCGATGATAGAAAAAACAATACAGGTCATGCCTCTCAATCAAGATCCCAATCCTATAGTTGGGATGGGACCAGGACAAGAATCATGCAATCCTCTCTCCCCGCTATTCTAAAGGTCACAAAACAAAGGTCATTTAAATATTTGCTGTACTGAAACTGAAGTCTAATCACTCAAAAAGGCTCGAGGAATTCATTACCACTCAGTTCCTGACAATCATTACATTCTAGTGTTCATTACGGAAGTGGTCCTTGAGTGAGAGTTAAGGTTCAGGTCCTTGAAAGCTGACAGAAGGTCTGATATCTGATAGAACGTCTTAATTCAGCTCCAGCTGAAAGAAAATGGCTTCTTAGGAGACATTTGTTTGGAATATGCTTGAATGGATCGCCACATCTTCCACATTTCCACTTCCGTCTGCAATCTGTTCACTCCTCTTTCTAACGTCCTCCCTCTGGACTCACCAGAAAACAGGGCTGTCCAGTTCATCCTTGACGGTGTAGTACCCCTCGTTGTCTTTGATGCTCTTGGTGAGGCCGAAATCTCCGATCTTCACCGTCTGCTCGTTTTCCACCAGCACGTTCCGGGCAGCCAGGTCACGATGGATGTAGTTTTTAGATCCCAAATACTCCATACCCTAGGAGGATTATAATAAATCATGGGCTCGACCTTCAGGAGTCTCGACGGCTCTAAAGAACAGAGCTAGCATTACCTGGCATATCTGGATGCAGTAGCTCAGCAGAGTGAAGAGGCTGGTCCCACTTTTGTGTCGTGGTAGATAGTCCTTCAAACTACCCTGTGGTAGGTACTCCATGATCAGCTTAATGGATTGGCCGCCTACAAACACATTCACAGGACATTTGTTTAGGGCTGCAGCTATCGAATATTTTTGTAATCGAGTACTCTATCGAATCTTTTTTTCGATTAATCGAGTACTCTAATAAATTACCCTTTTGTGTTTGTAAACCTTTATATCATATATTGATGAGCCAAGATGGCGCCGAGTATGGCTGCCTCGTCGCGAGCTCCACCAAGTTCCAACATTACACGCTCCATACTGTACATTAATGCCACTGTTTTGCACATACCAACCTCTGTACATTTTATATCTCTTATCTTATTGTTTACTTTATTCATTTGTATACTTAGATTAGCCATTTTTATATTTTACTTGTTTTTACATTACTGTATTTTTGCACAACTCTATTGCTGTGAAGCTCGCACACAAGAATTTCACTCGCATGTACTGTACCAGTGTACCTGCACATGTGACGTGACAATAAAAGTGATTTGATTTTATATCAAATAGCATGTTATAATTATGAAAGACCTCTTAAAATGAGCAAGCAATTGCCAGTTATTCAAGTTTTATTCAAAATTAGTTTGAATAACTTCAGCACTTCAACTTTACTTCACAGTAAACAAATGCGTGTGCAAAAAATAAGTAAACCTGAGCCGATTTTCCCCTCGTGCGAGAATCTGCTAGCCTGCAAGCCAGACAAAAACTAGGAGGATAACGCTGCGAGCGGCTGCGGCCCAAACAGAACCAGAACCGCTCACGGCGCAAACAGCTCGCCGGCTGTTTCCCTATTAACACACGTCCGTTTTAATTTCCACACTTTTTTTCTCACACTAACAAGGATTGCCAAAAGCATGTTTGCTGTGGTTTTGTCAAATTATACTGATCACAAAACATGTATTTACTTTCTTTCGTTTTCCTCCGCCACTCATAAATACCCGTGTCCTCATGCAGAAACCCCGAGGGACAACAGACATCAATAACACAATAAAAAGTCCGACATATTGTGTAAAAACTGCTATTTTTAGCACATTTTAAGTCCGACGTGTTGCTACCAGATGTACGGTGTGAGCTGAAACTGAGCGCTACAAACGAAAAAGTCGCAGAGTCCGCAGAATATATAGAAAAACAGGCTAAAATGCATTATCTTGTAGAGGCTCCGAGTCCGCTTGCAGAAGTGACATTTACAGGTGCTGCAGCACGGAGGATGTGGTGTTGTGCTAGGCTAAATCCATTTTACAGTATTTATACTGGACTACGTTTTCCACCTTACGACGTGAAAAATGGTTCCACAACTTTGACATTTTCTGTCTTTTTCGCACTCCACCGGGGTTCAAGTTGTCCGCCATGGCTTAAGAGAAAGTTAAGTTATATTCGCCACTCGCGTGTGCATTCAGTCCAGTGGGCATGTGCGTCACTTATTTCGGTCCGGGTGAAACATGACCCCGGGCGATTGCAAAGCCATGAATTAATTAAATATGAATTAAACGAATCCTCGAGGCAGAGAATTTGACTCGAGGATTTTTTGTACTCGAATTATTCGAGGTACTCGAGGAATCGTTTCAGCTCTACATTTGTTTTATTATTCTGAGAGTAGATCCAGAATCATTCAAGCCTAAACATTTCAAAATCGGGGACAGCCTTTTAGTGTTTAGTTATTAAAAACAAACGGATCCAAACTCGGCGAAGGCCCTCCTTCATTAAAACACCTGGAGCCCTTAATTAATGTCTGTTTTTGATTTGAAGTAAATAAACTGCAAAGAGTCTCTAAAGTACAGCTTCAGTGGAATTATTTAATCCTGTTTTTGGGCCAATTCATTTAAAAGTTGGTTTCTAAACAGCAGCTGGAACGTTTCTCCACCAGTTGAGCAGAAAAGAGGATCAGAATTGAACTCCGACTGGAGCATTTGCATTTGGAAGCTGTTGTTGTCAACCATCGTGATCCAAAATTCACCAAACTCCAGCAGAAACATCAGAGAAGAAGAGTTTCAATGAAGCTCAAAAACAGTTCAACTTAGCTAAAAATCTAACTAGATGATTCTAAAAAGGCAGAAATGCTCGAGTTCAAAATATAATCCAAAACTAAACCAGGAAGGCTGATTTAGTCCTGCTGAGTGTTAAAACCCGAGAACCCACACACACACACACACACACACACACACACACACACAGGAATCACTGTGACTTTGCGGTCTACCTTCTTCTTGGCAGATGCCTTTGTACTTGACGATGTTTTTGTGGTAAAGCGCCTTCAGGATTTCGATCTCTTTGGAAAGGTTGTTGCTCTGTTCTTCCCGGTTGTCTGGTTTCAGGGATTTCACCGCCACCAGCTCGCCCGTTCGGTCCTCCCGAGGATCATAGCGATACAGCTCCACCTTCCCAAAATGCCCCTGCATGGAGAGAAACAAGAGGGAACATTTAACGGGAAAGTTCCAGAAGGCTAAAGTGGTTGAAGTCGACGTTACAAACTAAAATTATATTATGTGGGTTTGACTTTAGGGAGAATTTCGGATAGAAGTGATTACAGGTCGACCGACGTTGGGTTTTCTATTGCCAATGCCAAAATGTAGAGGTCGAGGTCAGTCGATGGCCGATATTTTGGGCCGATGTCTAGATGTTTTCTACCTCATTTTCATGCTAAAATGTCACTAATGACATCAGATGCACAAAAGTTTTTGAACACTGAATTTAAACAGCTGTTAAATATTAATTGTGTGCACTGTTCAGTGTTAAAATCAGACATCTAACTAAAGTTAATCAAACAAATCAGTAAACTGACCAAGTATTAAATATTCAAAACTGGGAGAAAAAAAATTGTAGTTGGTGCATTAATTAAAAGCAGATGTTATCCAGGTAAAAATACACTTAAAATCTGCAGCAGCAGTACTGGGCTGCCTGGGGATGTGCCTGACTTTAAATCGGCTCAACTAAGTGCAGATATTTAAAAATTATATCAAATATCGGCCAAACGATATATCGGTCTATGCCTAGTAGTGATTAATCATCAATAAAAAAGCTGAAGGAAAACAGATGGAATCACATTTTACCAGCCACCAATGTTAACTGTGTGGCCATGTTAGCCCCTCCCCCCCATAAGGGATCCACAACAATAGCGGCTTACCTCCCCCAGGGTTCTGATCATCTTCAGAAATCGTTTTTCAAAGACGGTTGGGTCCACCCCGGTCTGGTGTTTGGATCTGAAGAACACGTCTAACAGATGAAAGAACATGATTACAAAACATCCTTTCTTCAGCCTGGCGTCAGAGGAAGTCTGCTGCGGTCGAGAGTGTGAAGGTTTTTGTGTTTATGCAACTGATGATGCTTTTAAAAAGGAGTTTAATTTCTAACCCCACTGCCACTGGAGCTGATGGATCTGGTAGCCAGTTTGAAAAGTCATAAGAATAAAGGAGAATGATGAGTGTGCAGTAGCAGTTGGGTTAATAAACTGGCTGCAGTATCTAAATCTGGCCAGTAGGTGGAAGAATGGAGTCTCCAGAACCAATGAGGCCCCATTGAGGGGCAGATGACTTGATAATGCACCCAGTGAACTTCCTCATGAAAATCCAAGCGAGTAAACAACTCTGCTGTCAGGTGAGACCGAAACATTCAGATCTTATTTCAAATGTCAAGAAACTACGCATTTCTGGTTTAGCTTTCTTTCAGTTTCCAGTCCTGTTTTAAGAAAGAGTGTTAAGTTATTCTGAACCTGATGTAACCAGCTGGTTTGTGACTTTACACGAGTGTCCTCACACCCACCCATTTTCCCCGGCTCGGTCATGTCCAGGTCTCTGACGATGGCCCTGAAGAAGGGTCTCTTCTTGGGGTCGTAGTTCATGCACTTGGTCATGAGTTCAGCAAGCTCTTCATAGTCGGGGGTGACCAGCTGGCACTCCATTTCATAAAACCTCTCTTTCTGCTTGGAACAGGAAGCAAACATTTGATCAAGAAAAACGCAGCAAAGCAGCTGGAGTTCATCACAGGCAGCATGGAGAAGTCAGCCTTGGACAAGATTTGTTTCGGAGCATTTGTTCATGTTAGCATGTGCGCTCTTGCCTCGATAAGCTTCTTGTCTTTGAGAGGAACTTCTCCATCGAAGCAGATCTCCCACAGGGTGGTACCAAAACCCCATTTGTCTGCTGCCACACTCAGAGACGCATTCTTTAGACATTCGGGAGCGATCCAGGGGATTCGATGCACGCACTCTGCAGACACAAAGAAAATCAAAGCTGAAAATGTGTTTGTGAAATTCTTGTCAGCCTTACCAGGATTTCAGCTGAAACTCTCATTTATAAAAACACGCTAGTGAAGGACGTCAGCTAAACTGCATCCTCTTTGAAGGAGACGATAAAAAAAAAAACAATAGGAATAAGTTCATCGTGCCTTTCATCCAAGTCAGTCAGAATAGGGTTTTGTCATTTATGAAGGCATTCCTAGACATCATGTAAGCAGTCCTGGCTGCAGGTAACCAGATACTAGGGCTGGGCAAAAGGGACAAAAACACATACTCCATATTTTTAGCTGAACTCTGATATGATACATAACTTGTTACGTTTCTAAAGTTTTAGCTACGTGTCTCAAATGCCACACAGACACGTTATAATTTATTTATAATTTAAGCAAAAAAAAAAATTCAAAGACCAAGTTCACCCGTTATTTCAACACATTTGCTGTGGTCTGTATAAATAAATGAACGCCATGTGGCTCGATCTCCGGTGCTTCTGTTTCAGGATGTAGAAGTTAGCCAGAGCAGAAGACAGCAGGATTTGGGAGTCTTCTAACCTTGTGCTGCAAGATGGATTCTCGTGAGATTTTCCAAACTCAGGAGAATCCATCTTGTACCGCTCCAGTTCAAACCGTCCGACCTCCAGCCCAAAACGGGCCGGACCAATCATGTGTCAGTACTGTGCTGTAGGGTGGGGCTAAGCAAAACAAAAATGGTTGTGTCGGTTGACGCTAACAGCAAACAATAGTTACAACAGCACGGGGTCCACGGCCAAAATGGTCGCGGTCGGACATCTTCAATTTGTTAAAACATATTTAACAGAAAATTCCCTAAAAATCCATTCAGATATATTTGTACATGACTACAGTTACATGTATAATTGTTATTTTGACAACTAGTTATGTGTAGTTTAATATGTAGCATGTTGTGAAGCACTTGTAAGTGTAACATCATGTTCGTGTCAGGGAGCGGGCTCAAACGGTAGGGCACCCACCCACCTTACACGCCGGAGACCCGGGTTCAAATCCAGGCAGGGCCATAGAAGATTCCTATTCAGGTGGCATATGGAAATGTTTTTTATTCCAGTAATGATATATTTTATTTTACAGTAATAAGAAGCCTAAATTTTAATTAATAAACGTCCAAATGAGACTATGTCACGGCCAGAAAATCCGTCGGTTCAACTTTCATTCTGTGCACCACTACCGTCTTTCATCAGTATCAGCAAAGGGGAGGCCCCGCGGTCCGCTACGCTGCCGTGCCTCGTCCGTGTCAGCGGAGAAGGTAGGGCTGGGGAGGGGGGTCGACCAAGCAAGGGCTGGCAGCCTGCAGGCTTGTAGATCGCTGGGGGAAACCCTGCCCTTTATGCGCATGTTCTTCTCGCAAAACCGGCAGAAATCACCCGAAGACATGGTAATTGCATCGTGAGTGAATGAAGCTTGAGCAAGTTGTTGTTGTTTTCCAGGCACACGTGGTAAACGTCATTTGAGTTACTGTGATTGGCCAAAGACAAAATATGGTAACCAGTGCCAGCCGGGCACTACCTTCCACGTCTTCCAATCAGCTCAAAATATTCCACCAAGTGGCCCTCCCCCTTTCAGACGGTTTCTGCTGCAGATTCCAGATCGAAATGTGTAGACTCGACACGGGGCGGGGCTACACGTAGAGATCTGGCTGCGGCCAGGTTAGGAGTCTTCCGTCATATTTAGGCACGGCTCTGCCACTAACTCTGTTTGCTTTGAAACGTTGCCGTTTTATTTCCACAAATAACACAAGCTTGGAGGAGTTCTGCTGTGCGGTAGAGTTGCTAATGCTAACGGTTTGCTTCTACTAGCCACCAGCATGTAGAACATAGGATCAGGAATGAATACAGTGGGGCAAAAAAGTATTTAGTCAGCCACCGATTGTGCAAGTTCTCCCACTTAAAATGATGACAGAGGTCAGTAATTTACATCATAGGTACACTTCAACTGTGAGAGACAGAATGTGAAAAAAAATCCATGAATTCACATGGCAGGATTTTTAAAGAATTTATTTGTAAATCAGGGTGGAAAAAAAGTATTTGGTCTCTTCAAACAAGGAAAATCTCTGGCTCTCACAGACCTGTAACGTCTTCTTTGAGAAGCTTTTCTGTCCTCCACTCGTTACCTGTATTAATGGCACCTGTTTGAACTCATTATCTGTATAAAAGACACCTGTCCACAGCCTCAAACAGTCAGACTCCAAACTCCACTATGGCCAAGACCAAAGAGCTTTCGAAGGACACCAGGAAAAGAATTGTAGACCTGCACCAGACTGGGAAGAGTGAATCTACAATAGGCAAGCAGCTTGGTGTGAAAAAATCAACTGTGGGAGCAATTATCAGAGAATGGAAGACATACAAGACCACTGATAATCTCCCTCGATCTGGGGCTCCACGCAAGACCTCATCCCGTGGGGTCAAAATGATCATGAGAACGGTGAGCAAGAATCCCAGAACCACACGGGGGGACCTGGTGAATGACCTGCAGAGAGCTGGGACCACAGTAACAAAGGTCACCATCAGTAACACACTACAACGGCAGGGAATCAAATCCTGCAGTGCCAGACGTGTTCCGCTGCTGAAGCCAGTGCATGTCCAGGCCTGTCTGAAGTTTGCCAGAGAGCACATGGATGATACAGCAGAGGATTGGGAGAATGTCATGTGGTCAGAAGAAACCAAAGTAGAACTTTTTGGTATAAACTCAACTCGTCGTGTTTGGAGGAAGAAGAATACTGAGTTGCATCCCAAGAACACCATACCTACTGTGAAGCATGGGGGTGGGAACATCATGCTTTGGGGCTGTTTTTCTGCTAAGGGGACAGGACGACTGATCCGTGTTAAGGACAGAATGAATGGGGCCATGTATCGTGAGATTCTGAGCCAAAACCTCCTTCCATCAGTGAGAGCTTTGAAGATGAAACGTGGCTGGGTCTTCCAACACGACAATGACCCCAAACACACCGCCCGGGCAACAAAGGAGTGGCTCCGTAAGAAGCATTTGAAAGTCCTGGAGTGCCCTAGCCAGTCTCCAGACCTCAACCCCATAGAAAATCTGTGGAGGGAGTTGAAAGTCTGTGTTGCTCGGCGACAGCCCCAAAACATCACTGCTCTCGAGAAGATCTGCATGGAGGAATGGGCCAAAATACCAGCTACTGTGTGTGCAAACCTGGTAAAGACCTATAATAATCGTTTGACCTCCGTTATTGCCAACAAAGGTTATGTTACAAAGTACTGAGTTGAATTTTTGTTATTGACCAAATACTTATTTTCCACCCTGATTTACAAATAAATTCTTTAAAAATCCTGCCATGTGAATTCATGGATTTTTTTTTCACATTCTGTCTCTCACAGTTGAAGTGTACCTATGATGTAAATTACTGACCTCGGTCATCATTTTAAGTGGGAGAACTTGCACAATCGGTGGCTGACTAAATACTTTTTTGCCCCACTGTACATCAGAGAGACAGCTCAGAGAGGCCAGACTGAGACGGTTTGGTCATGTCCAGAGGAGATACTATGACTCCATAGGTGGAAGGATGATGAGATTGGAGCCACCAGGCAAGAGGCTAAGAGGGAGACGTAAAAAGAGATTTATGAATGCTGTGAAAGAGGACATGAAGCTAGTTGGTGTGTTGGAAGAGGATGCAAAAGGTGGGACTAAATATAGAGACTAAATAATTGGCTGTGGCGGCTCCTGAAGGGATGAGCCTGAAGAAAAAGAAGAAAGGATGACAGACTGTCTGAACTTCCATGACTGGTATTTTAGCTCCATAAATCAATAACATCTGATGAGTTGTTGTTTGCTAGTAAAGAAAAGCAAAAAGACAAAGCAAAAGAGCTGAGCAGACAGAAAATGGACCTGGAATTAAGTCCAAGGACCACAAAAAGAAAAAGAAATGTGAAAGAGAAATATGGATACTAAGAGCTCGAGTAATGCAATTAGATCGCTGGGAAGTAGGAAGGAGTAATCCCAAAGGGTTCCTAAGCACTATGTGCACAGTATTCAATCAAATCTGTGCATGAGGACATCGATGTGTAACGGGAAGAGAGGGTGATCTGCACAGTGATGGAGACAGAAGAAAAAATGTGAAAGATCTCAGAGAACAAAGAGTGTGGAAAGGGTATTCCCATGGGCAAGAGGAGGGCATTAATACACAATCAGTTCCAGCTTGTTCCGCGGTTCGCCCGATCCATCTGCACGGCCACACCGACTTCTACCACACAACCTCCAACTAAAATGGAAAATACAGAAACATGAGGCTACTACATGAGCGGAAGTGTGAAATTTGAGAAGCGCCTTTTGTGTTCTCTTCTGTGAATTCACATCTAGCTTTAACAAACCAAATCATCGTCTCAGACGGAAATGTGCCCACTGCAGTGTCTTAACGACTGTGTGACAAATGTGATTCGTATTACTGACAGTGGCTGCCTGATCGGAAATATTCTGTATTGAGTGGGAGGGACACGAGGGATGACTTCTAACCAAAGACGAAACAAAAGCTGCTTTTAGAGAAAGCAGACTATTAGTTTGGCACATCTGTGTTCAAAAGTGCGTCTTTGTTCAAACAGTTTCCCACGTTCATAAGGTTTTGTGTCGACACACAAGCGCTTTGGGGAGGACAGATTTTACAGCTGTAAAAGTTGAACTTACTGGGATTGGTTTCATGGTTTCTCCTTTGGAGGTATCAGAAATACCCTGTGTCGTTTGTACCCACCCTCTCTGGAGAGCACTGTAGCTGGTATTCCTGGGTCACTGAGCTTGATGAAAGGCCCGCCTTCATCTGAATCCAGTCCATCTCTGGCTACCAAAACATTCTTGGCACAAACGTAGCCATGAACCAGCTTTTTGTCCTCCTAAAACGCACACAAAGTAAAACATATGAGTTCATAAAAAGCTTGAATACACCCCTCGTGTTCCATAAAACCAGTATCTTTGACTTCAGCTGAAGTTTTCTTATCTTCATCCAAATTATCCTTCAACTCGTTCACTGCCATTGACGACTAAAGTCGTCATTTGCATTACTTTTACTGTGTGGGCATCGGAACGAGCCCCCGCACCGTGAGAACAAACATCTCAGCTCTAAAGCCGATCTTCATCCGCATACGTCGCACGTCACGTGATCAGGAAGCAGAAGATCCATGTGTTAGGAGATCGTTTTGAGCCGCTGCTGTAAAAAAAAGTGAGGCACGAACCGGAAAAGCTTCTGCGGATCACAATTCAACAAGGGATTATGAAAGAACGGATAACGCTCAAAACGCGTGGATTCTTCCTGATGTAAAAGTTGAGTCTACTCTTTGTTTTGGTAGTTTTGGCGTCAACATCATCCTAGCGTGCAACGTTCTGTGACTCTTGAAAAAACAGTAAAAATGGTGAAAAACGCTAGCAGCGAAGGCCTTTTCCGATCAGGAAACGGCTGGCAGTGAATGAGTTAAGAGCCCGAGCCCTTTTAGAACAGAAGACAGGAATAAATATGTAAAATTTAGAAAAAATAAAGTAGTTAAATGTTTTTGATATATGTATGGATAAGATGTCACTTGGGGTTGTCAATCTTGAATACGACTCTAGAAGCAATTTTTCAGATGCTTGAAATGGGCCGTGACACCAGTGTCACCACGGGTCCTTAAAGGTTAAATATATCGAGGTGCCGACCTGTATTTTAAGGCGGTGTGTGTTCGTGTTTTCCTCTTACCAAGTAGCTGAGAGCAGAGGCCAGTTGCTTAGCCACTTGGAATTTCCAAGGTGCGCTAAGCGGAGTCTGTTGTCTCTTCATAAACAAGTCCAGAGGTCCCAGTTGGACAAACTCCTCCACCATGATGTCTAGAGACACAACAAGCTTGGATCACAGCACCACAAGCTTCAACAAAACGACTCCAAAGATGCACTTACTCTCCTGGTGACGGACACACACTCCGTACAGCAACACAATGTGCTTGTGGGAGATTTTGTGCATGTTGCTGGCTGTTTCAAAGAAGGCCTGTCACAACAAAGACAAACACAGATCAATACACACACAGCAAGCTACATATTTGTATCATCATCCAGATTTTAAAACGGCTTTAAGATATGATGTAAAAGTTCAAATTCCAATTCAAAGTTACACGACTGATTAAGTTCCTGATGGATAATTTATCTCACCAAAGAGATGTCTCTGTGTCCAGAACCAAGCACTTTCAAGACCACCTTGATCTCCTGGAAAGACGTGTAACCCGCGTCCTCCTCTTCTTCATTCTTCACCTTCAGTGTGCCCGAGTAGATGTTGGTTTTTGTGCCCCGACCGAGGTGCTCCTCCTGGTTAACGAGGCAGAGAGTCAGGACAGTGGCAGAGCAGGATGGGCAGGCTGTTTGCAATACCCATTACCTGTTCGATGTCCTCCTTAAGGATGCGATGGAAGACAACTTGACTCTCCAACGTGGGTTTCTGAAACAGTGGTCTGTCTTTGGTCACCACCAGGAGGTTAGAAACCTCTGTCAAAAAGCACACAAGCAGATGTATAGACTAATAAACATACATTATTCTGTTCATTTTCAGAAACAAGGTGTTTAGGAATCACATTTTTCTCAGATTCAACAACTGTTGGGTAATGAAACGCTCTGCATCTTCTAACATTTCCACAGTGGTATGATTGTAAAGCTGTCAACACTAGACTAGGCTGACTTCAGTTGTCTGCACTGCAGTTGTACAACAACAATAAACTGTGACAGCACTATTCATTCATTTTCTAAACCTGCTTCATCCTGTTCAGGGTCCCAGGGACAACAACAGCAGACAGTAAACAAAGAACTTTTCCTTTATTCATACTTCAAGTTTTAAAAGTTGACATCAATGTATGGCTGCTTGAATTATAGAATTTTAATTACATTTACACTGTAGGTTTTGAACGATTATAAAAACAAAAAGAGCCAATAATTTGCTCCACCATCGCGTTTTACTCCCACCCTGCTCCGAGTTGTAAATCAAGCGCACCTGCCACACAGCGTTGCCAACTTAACAACTTTATCGCCATTTCTTTTCAGACTCATTGTTCTTGACCCCCCCAAAAAAAGTGGATCTCACTCGCTCACAAAACTGTTGTTTTACAACCAAATACATTCTAGATCTAGTGAAACATCTGAAGTGGATTTATATTTTAATCATGGCTGCAAACTCTCTCGTGATGAGCGTCACACGTTTGACTGTCTTGACGCACTCTCACGCCACACCTCCAGTTTCTCAGGCTGATTAATAATAATAGTTCATCCATCTACCAAACAGCCACTTCACAAGCGCATGGCACAACATAGAAGAGCCACCTTCACGGGACAGGACTCAGCAGTTCATTTGCATCTAAAGGACAAAGGTCACGCTTTCGAGGATGCCAACGTTCACATTTTGGACAAAGAGGACAGATGGTTTGAAAGAGGAGTAAAGGAAGCCATTTATGTCCATTGTGAGCAACCATCTTTGAACAGAGGCGGTGGTTTACGACACCAACTGTCTGCCATCTATAATCCAGTTTTGAGATCCCTTCCCAGATGCCTCAACGCCCACGCATATCCTGGGCCATCTGACCTCAGGAATTCACATGATAGGGTGGGGCCAGGCTTCACAATGAGCTCACCCGAAACTCTGGCTGAATAGGACCCACCCTCACACCTTGGCTCATGTGTTTATGTAGAAGATCATCAGGGGGCCTTTTGTTCCCTCTTCGGGGGGAAACTCCCATTGGGTTTGAATCTGGGACTCTCTACCATTTGACCTTAAGCCGGGCGTACACTGTGCGACTTTTTCACTCGCAGCGTTCAGCTTCAGCTCAAACTGTACGACTTCCTCGCAGAGCAGATCTCACGAGTCGTGTGCTCACTGCACGACCCAGTTCTCGCATGCGACCTGACTGCTCACACTGTACGTCTGGTAGCAACACGTCGGCCCTAAAACTGTGCTAAAAATAGCAGTTTTTACTCAACACGTCAGACTTTTTTGTCTTGCCTGTTGTCCTTCGGGAGTGCTGCAGGAGGACACACAGGGATTTATGGGGGTTGGATGAGGAAAACGAAATAAAGAAAGTGAATCTGTGTTTTGTGATCAGTTTAATTTGACATGAACACGACAAACACGCTTTCTTGACAATCTTTGAGTAAAAAAAACGTGTAGAAACAAAAACGAACAGCGTGTGTTATTAGGGAAATAGCGAGCGACCGGCCGGCGTTGATGCAGGATTGCGCGCGCATGCGCCGTGAGCGGTTCTGATGCTTTTTGGATCGTAGCTGCTCGCAGCTGCTCGCAGCGCCGCTTCAACAGTGCGATACCCTCACGAGGGACGAGCGAAATATTAAACACACCAGAAGTCCCTGCGACCTCACGACTGCTGATCGGCAGCTGGTCACGTGGTGTTAATCGCCTCTCGTAACCCCCTGTACACTACACGACCGCTCGGCGCAAAACTCGCCCCGATGTCGTGGCTTCTCGCACGACTGGAAAATCGGCTCAAAAAAGTGAAAAAGTCGCACAGTGTACGCCCGGCTTTAGAACTGAAGAAGCCTCTCGGATGAGAGGTGAAACGTCTTCAAGCAACTCAAAGAAGTCCAGACGCTTTTCTTTCAAAGCTCCTTAGACTACAATGACCTGGATGGCTGAGAACCTTCACAGACACATCTATCTGAGTGTTGCATCGTGCTACTGTACACTCCCCCACGGCACCGCTGCAAAGGACTAATTCATATTAAATACGCAGCAGCTTGTGGAGGATCACTACAACAAAGGTGTTTATATGGTTCTATTTATGTTTCTATTACAAATGTTTGCAATGTGTATCTCATATTTGTTGTCAGTATTTGTTTTGTCAATGTTAATTTATGATTGTCTAAATAATCGAGATCTCAATTTCAGTGCAAAACAATTGTGATTATCATTTTTGCCATAACTGAGCAGCCCTACATCAACGTTGCAACAGAAACCAGTAATTCAACTCCAACTACTGTAGTAATTAGATGAATTTATTTTTAAATGTAGTACAAGTCCTCTACTTGTGGCAGGACACGGTTAACTTAAGTATTTGTGACTCTGTGGGTTTCTAGTGTGACAAAACACACACTGTGGTTCAAGGGGGAAGGAGCATCTGCACTCCATCAGCATCAACAAACCAAATGTCCTCCAACAAGCAATCCGGGTTTCATATAAAACACTGACTGTTACACTATAGAAAGCTGCACGGCACTTGCTTTTATCCCCCGGACCAGTGGTTCACCCTCCCTAATCCAAAACCATGTACTTAACTTTGTGATGCTACAGATGGCCACACAGACCCAGCACAACAAAAAGTTGAAGTGAACTTGTATGCTCAGGAAGTGGGCACACTGTAAGTGTTTTATTACTGCAGCAATAATACCACACCATCATTATGCATTGTCTACTAAAGGACCAACCGATTTTAGATTAGCGTAAAGACAACAATCTCCTCTAAAGAAAAAGCTCAACACATTCAAACACGCGTTGCTCAACCTTTTCCTGAGTAAACAGAGGAGAGCTAGTTTGGCTCCGGAAACCCACATTTACCACTCTCTTCCTGCCCGACACCATTTCAGAGGCCCTACCAGCCTCGTTCCACCCCTCTCCAAAACACAAACACACCTACGCTTTAGAGCAGGTTCTGTTCTGCAGAGAGGTTGAAATGCTCTGTTACACCTCATCCAAAAGCAGATGTGTTGAACCTGTTACCACAGCTTTAAATCGAGTACAGCAGAACATTTCAATGGAAACTATTTAGATTAGTTTCACGACGGGACGAAGGTGTGGTCTGTTATTATATCTTGTGTTTAACAACACATACATGAAGCGTAAATAAGTTGCAAAATCCAAACTGTTCTGTCAGTGACAGCAATGCAACACAACTGAAGCAGAGAAGGTGGAATTACGTTGTCGTTGGGGGAATTCATGTGTTTGTGTGATTTTGGTGTTGGGAGTTAAGTAACGGCGATTTTAAAGGGGCATTATGGAAGTTTGACAGCCAAAGCATGTATAGAAATAATACATTTCTTCTTCATACGTTCTCCTGCAATGCCCTGGTCCTGTAGAATGAGCCCTGGCATTTTTACTGTGATTGCCTGTTTTTCTGTAAAATCACAGAAAAAGAGAGATACTCGGGTCGAGCAGGCTGCTTCATGCGCGTTCACCCTCAGGCATCGCCCGTAGCATTTGCTATCAGTAGCTTTAGCAGCAGAGAGTGAGGTAGTGCCAATTCAGCGACTTTGTCGCTGTTCCTACCGCCTAGTGACAAACCTAGCTACATTTCTGAAGACCCTTAGCTACTTTCTGTAGAACTTTCTTCTAGATATTTCCTGCAAATTAGCAACAAAATAGCCATTTTCGCTCCGAACCGTTCTTTGAACGTTGTTTCAGCTGTCATCAGGAATATAAATATTACAGATACAAAAGACATCACTGATGCTATAGCTCACCTAGTAAGTCGGCGGTCTCCCGTGCGGAAGACCCGGGTTCGATTCTGGATGTGAACATAATTTCTTTGGAATTTATTTTTTACATTTATGGTATATTTTTTTACAGTAAGATGCCCAAATTTTTTATTTGAGACTCACCGAACGGCATTGAATTCACAGATAAAATGATGTGGGTTCAACTTTCATTTTGGAACAATTTTTCAAGCAAGGGAAGGGAATGATCTGAGCATGCAGGAGGACTGACCCATCATAAACCTTTGTCGGCTGTGCTGAAGAGAAAGGTACAGAACCAAATTATGTAATTAATTAGCTGCGCATTCTCCTGTCCCCCCCCCCCCCCCCCCCCCCAAAACACACACACACACGGGACTGTCTCAGCTGTTATTTTCGTTAAGGAGTGTGCAAGTACAGCATGCGCGCCTCGTGCACGAGACGACTATTGAAGCTGCCGTTACGCTTTTGGCCTGAGGGGGCAATCACGAGCAGAAAAATTCTAAACTCTGTAAAGTCCCTTTAAAGCAGCGTGAACACCGCTCGTTTTCTTTTCCTTCTATTCTACTTCACAAGCAGCTCTTGTAGTTTTACTACTGCTGGTTGTTTTGGACGACATCTACTGATGTAATTTCCTACAGAGTTACAACCAATCAGCACGAGTCAACCAAAAGTTCTGCTCAGTTACTATCGGGCCTTTCCGAGTACCTATCCCTGGTCAGGTACACCGTTAGATCCCAAAAACAGCCCAGTAAACGGTCTGTTTGGCCGACCCGGTGAAGTGGAGACACACAAGTGCCTAGAAGTTCCCATAAAACTACCCATAAGATCCAGAGGTGAAAACACGCCAATTTTTAGTGACTAGGACAGTTTTTCTCTTCAATTAGTAGCTGATCATTACCTCTTGGTTGTGGAGGGCAGCAGCGTTGCAGTTGGAACTCAAGGTTGTCGGTGCGAAGACATTGTCCTTCCAGGTGCTCCAGAAGCTCCTTTAAGGTGGGCCGAGAAGTCTCAGTGCCATACAGGCGATACCCTTTGTCCATCACTTCAATCTGGAAGTTTTTATACTGAGGCCGAGATTCGGTAAAGTCGATCTAGATGAAGACAGAAACAACAATTTTAGTGTTTATATTGACAATCATGCTGGTACACATTAAAGTATCTGGATAAGATCAGATTTTAAGGTGAGGGAAGATATAATACAGGGTATAATACCCTATAAAAGTCATAGCGGTCAGCCGACCCCTGTGACTTTTGGATCCACCAAGAGGGTCTCTCTCTGAATACGGGTGATGTAGACACACAGATGGCGTCTGATGTGGGTTTTTGGACAACAACTTTATAGTTTAGAACAAACCAAATTCTTTTCACCAGAACTCAGCTTATTTTGATAAGGAAGCTCTGACTGATATCACATTCACATACAGGTTTCTTCCTCACATTTATTTACATCCACTCACAGTAAATGCTTAATTAGTCATGTTTTAAATTGTTCGAAAAATAAATTCCTACTTTTATAAACTTGACTTTCTTGAAGTAACACGAAGTGTGGCTGATCATTGAAAAAGCAGAGAACCTAGAACTTCTGATTTAAATCCTAGAATCTTCCGAATAATTACAATAAAGACCTTGCAGGTTAATATTTTATATTTATATAGAATATTACATCTTCCTGGTCATCACAGATAAAATCATCATTTGCCTCCACTACAGAGCGTTAAACTCCCCCAGCGAAACAAGGGAGTCACCAGAAGGTGCGCTCTACAGCACCTCCTCGTCAAGGACCCCAAAAAGAGGTAGTCAGGACTGTAGTTTAGTTTGGCTCCGGAAACCCACATTTGGACTTCGTCATGGATTGTTGTCCATAACAAACAACATGTTCAGACATAAAGGTGTCCATATGTCCTCTTAGCACCAGGATTCTTTAAGCCGCAGCTCAATGATCACATTTGTTGTCGTCTCATCTGATCTGCGGCCACATGTCACTCAGGTGAAGAGGGGGGGCGGAGCAGTCAACTGACCACTACCTGGTGGTGAGTTGGCTTTGATGGTGGGGGAGGATGCCGGTCAGACCTGGCAGGCCTAAATGTATTGTGAGGGTCTGTTGGGAACGTCAGGCGGAGACTCCCGTCATTTCTATTCCCATCTCTAACAGAATTTCCAAAATGTTTCAGGGGAGGTGGGGCACATTGAGTCAAAGTGGACCATGTTCTGTGCTTCTATTGTCAAGGCAGTCGACTGGAGCTGCGGCCACAGGGTCATTAGTGCCTGTCATGGTGGCAATGCCCAAACCTGCTGGTGGACACAGATGGTTAAGGATGCTATTAAGCTAAGAAGAGTCCTGTTGGGTCTTTCTGGTCTGTGGGACTCCAGAAGCAGCAGATGGGTACTGGCAAGCGGAATGCGGCCCGGGTTGTCAGAGGCAAAATCTCGTGCACGGGAGGAGTTCGGTGAGACCACGGAGCAAGACTTCCATACGGCTCCTCGATGACAAGGCTTCGGGGTTGGATGAGGGATCACACTCCTGAGCCTCTCTGTTAAGGCCTATTCAGGGGTTCTGGAGAGGAGGGTCCAACGGATTGTCGAACCTTGGATTCAGGGGGTGCAATGTGGTTTGTATCCTGGCCGTGGAACTCTGGACCAGCTTTACACCCTTAGGGGGGGTCCTGGAAGGTGCGCGGGAGGTTGTCCAACCAATCTACATGTGTTTTGTGGATTTGGAGAAAGCGTTTGACCATGTCTCTCGGGAGGCCCTGTGGGGGGTTCTCTGGGAGTAGGGGGTACCAGGCCCTCTGATATGGGCTGTTAGGTCCCTGTATGACCGGTGTCAGAGTTTGGTCCTCATTGCCGGCAGTAAGTCGGGCTCAATTCCGGTGAGAGTTTGACTACGCCAATCCTACCCTTTGTCACCGATTTTGTTCAACTGTGCAACTTTTAGGGACAAGATTTCTAGGCATAGTCAAGGTGTTGAGGGGATCTCTTCTGGTGGCCTGAGAATTGAGTCTCTGTCTTTTGCAAATGATGTGGTCCTGTTGACTTCATCAGAACTTGATCTCCGGCTCTCACTGGAGCAGTTTGCTGCCAAGTGTGCAGCAGCTGGGATGAGAATCAGCTCCTCTGAATCCAAGACCATGGTCTTGAGTCAGGAAAGGGTAGAATGCCTTCTCCAGGTCATGGATGAAGTTCTGCCCCAAGTGGAAGAGTTTAAGTATCTTGGGGTTTTGTTCACAAGTGGGGGAAAGCTGGAGCGCGAGATCGACAGGCAGATTGGTGCTGCGTCTGCAGTGATGCGGACGTTGTACCGATCTGTCGAGAGCTAAGCCAGAAGACAAAACTCTCGATTTACTGGTCGATCTTCGTTCCAACCCTCACCTATTGTCACGAGCTTTGGGTAGTGACTGAAAGAACGAGATCGCTGATACAAGCGGCTAAAATGAGTTTTCTCCACAGGGTGGCTGGGCTCTCCATTAGAGTTAGGGTGAGGAGCTCTGTCATCCGGGAGAGGCTCGGAGTAGACGCGCTCTTCCATATCAAGAGGAGCCTGTTGAAGTGGCTCAGGAAAGAAAATGCTAAATTAAAAACTACAACAAATGTTGAACAGAAAAAAGATTTAAGATATATAATATTTTAGTGTAGAAAAATTAATGACCAGGGAGACTTTTGTCATAGAAGTTGTACAGATAAAAATAAACAAAAAACACTTATTTTTACATCTATCCCTAACACCCTCCCACCACCACCCCCCAAATGTAGCTTGGTATGGAATTCTAGTAACCAGTGGCGATCATTTTACTTTTTATTATTCGTTTAATGACTTGTTAAAGTCCCACTCAGTATTATTATGGACAGGTCTACATTACCTCCCGACAGACAACAGTGATGATGATGTAATCGTAATCAGTGCAGTTCCAGCGCAGGATGTAGGTGCCCTCCTCATTGCCCTCTTGGCGCAGCTTCTGGACACTATACTCTGTACTAAAACCAGAATAACCAATTAAGAACTGGGGTCACTTTTAGAAAAACTATATCATTATCAATTAAAAGATTTATTTAGAATATAGCTCTGTGGTTAGAAATGTCATTCAAACCTGATAGGGCCATGGCAACCATTCTCAATGTTGTACACCACTCTTTGTGGAGCCACCTCTTTACACAGGTAGTGGTGGGCATCAACAGTCAGCCTGAAGTATCCATCAACAAGGGCTGCAAAAGACAGAGCCTCTGCCCTGGAGTTCATTTTCAAAATCTGAAAAACAAATTTAATGATAATCAGCATTAAGAATGAGAAGAAACATTAAATAAGTATTGCTCAAGGTTAAAAGCATGCAACAAGGCAAGGCTTTGTTTCACACATCAAACATATGGATGACCCAGAGGAGGAAAACAAATGGTGAAAAATAATTCAAGTTCTCATAACTTGACACCGGTGAGAAAACTATTATGAATGACAGACATGGAGATGCAGAAACTACAAACAAAGATTACAGGAACTTTATCAGTCATAGAAGCACAGTAATTGTAACTTCGTACTGTAGAACTATTCAGTAAAAGAAAATTTATCCATCCATCCTCTTCTGTTATCCGGAGTCAGATCACGGGGGTAACAGCCTAAATCGAGAAGCCCAGACTTCCTTCTCCCCAGCCACTTGGGCCACCTCTTCCGGGGGGCCCCTAAGGCGTTCCCTGGCCAGGCGAGAGACATAATCTCTCCAACGTGTCCTGGCTCTGCCTTTGAAACTCCTCCCGGTTGGACGTGCCCGGAAAACCTCACCAGGGAGGCGTCCAGGAGGCATCCTAATCAGATGCCCGAGCCACCTCAACTGGCTCCTATCGATGTGGAGGAGCAGTGGGTCTACTCCAAACCTCTCCCAGCACGAGCTTCACTCCTCATTTCTAAGGGAAAGCTAAGACACGGTGCGGAAAAAAATAATTTCGGACGCTTGTATTAGCGATCTCGTTGGGTGGGAACGTAGATCAACCGGTAAATTGAAAGCTTCGCTTTCTGGCTCAGCTCTCTTTTCACCACAACAGATTGGTACAATGTCCACATCACTACAGACACAGCAACAATCCGCCCATCGATCTCACACTCCAGCTTTCCTTCACTCGTGAACAAGACCTCGAGACACTTAAACTCCTCCACTTGGAACAGGACCTCATCCCTGACCCAGAGAAGGCATTCTACTCTTCCCAACTCAAGACCATGGTCTCGGATTTAGAGAAGATTCTCGAAAACCAAATTGCTCCTCCTGAATCCGAAGATTTATGTCTGATAAAAATAAACAGATTCCATCCAAAACACGTTTAAATTTTTTGTGTGCCTTACCATCTTCTTGTTGTCTTGTCTTTGGATGGTGACCGTTGCCTCTTTAATGACCGTGTGCATGATCTCATGAAAGTCACAGAACACCAGCCAGCCTTCGTTTGCGTCTTTATTTCTGTCAATCTTCTGCTTTCCAGCCTGCTTGACCTTCTTTGCCTTCACTTTTTCATTGGAGTTGCCAGACACCTGTTTCAATTACCACACCACTTTTAATTACTTTCATTAACATATCATTGACACAAGTTTGGATGTAGCTAGTCTACATTATAGAGTAATGGTACAAATACTCCATTGAAGGCTAATCTGATTATCCAGATAAGAAAAACTTCATCTATTCTTTTCATCTATTTAGGTGTCTGTTTCTAGCAATTTATTCATAAATCCTAAAAAATTAAGCAATTGTCATATTCCAAAAGTTTTACTTACTGCTAATGGTTTCTTTCTCCAGGAAATGCCAGTTGTGCCGGTGACAAGCACCTGCATGTCCTTGTTTGTCTCCGTGTTCTGATTCTGGCTCTGATTGTTGTAACCTGGAAGCAGTGGGTTACCATTACGCTAAAGAATCTACATGTTATTTATTATATAAACTTCTAGCAAAGTAGGGTTAGGGTTAAGCTTAAAACACACCGAGATATTAATTACGTGTAAAGACTGGAAAGGGGGTACGGCTTTCGGCAATCCAAGAAATTAGTAAAAATTAGATGACCTGCTCCATTTGCTGTGAGAAACTGACAACGTTGAGTAAACAACTAAACGTTTTCACACCGAAAGCATCAGCGGTGCGGAACAGCAGTGGAACATCACTGCTTCAAACAGAATCAGTTATACTCTATTGAGTGTTTCAAACCAGCAGTGACGCGGCAATTTTCAGGCGCGTCCCAGAAGCGGCATGCCGTTAAGAGAGGATCGGGTTCTATTATTGCCGCGAGCCGGTTCTGGTATGAGACCATTTCCACAGTTAACATAGGGCTAGAAAGGAAATCACACACTGTTTCAGTGTAAAATCCCCAGTAATTAAAAACAAAAAAGTACTGCAGCGATGCAATTTCATATATACGTAGCTTACATGTGACCCAATGACATATTTACTCCCAGTATTGTTCCAGAAGTGCGGCAGTGTGGTTTTTCATGGCTTTCATCCTGGCAGTGCAGAGAAACAACATCATAAATGGCATCAAATGTGATTTCCTTCTTTTCGGTTTAATAGTGAATTGCACAGACAAACCGTGTCTGGTCAAAGGCAGCCTGAAGTGTGATCTTGTGATCTCGCAATCAAGCGAGAAGAATGGCAGAAGTCTTGAAGGATTTTGTAATCTCACAAGTCCAGCAAAGAGCACAGTGAGGAAGCCGTACCGCGGCCAAGACTCTCCCGATGTGATATGGACTGCTTTGAAGTTTGCAAGTAAACCGTTCCGCTCCGCTTGATGCTTCCAGTGCGAAACTGGGATAAGGATGGTTTCACACTCAGTTTTATTCTGTATTATGTGTGTTTGTTCTGTTAATCCTGTTTGGGGTTTAATTTGGACCAATATCCATCTCAATAGTCAACAGCAAACAGGAGTAGTACACAAGCAACGTCTTGTTCCGCTTCCACATCTGGGCCAGTGCAGTATGGGCTGGGTAGCTTTTTGGTTTCACATCTCAGTAATATGTGCATTTTCCTTTCTAAGGTGAATCTTTTGAAACCTTTTCCTCGGTGGCCCAATTGGGACTGAGATGACACTACAAATTAATTAGATGGATAAATTCACACCGGACTGGCGGGTAGAATCAGCAAACGAGGGCTTCCCGCATGCGTGATTCATCATCATTCTGGATGCTGTGGAGTAAACATCTCTGTCTGCAGCACGGAGCTCTGGCTTCAGCGCGCCAGCAGACTGCTGCTCAGTGGAAAGAGAGAGGAGGGAGCAGGGAGGAACGGCCGAGAGCACCAAAGCTGCCTTTGTTTACTTTTAGCTTCAGGCGCAGCAGCGGAGGACAGAGTGTTTTAAGGATATGCATAGCAGCATCAGTGAGAAAACAGGAAGTGAATGAATAAAATAATGTGGTTCAGTGTCTCACAAAACAACACGACACCTGCCTTTGTTTATCTTATAATGGAGGACACCTCTGACTTTTTCACGCACCTTTTGCGCCACCCACATGCTAAGGGATTTCCACATAACTGAGAAGTCCATGTGAACCAAAATGTGAACAAAAACTGCCTGTACGAGCCCGGACTGACGCCACCCATCCCCGACCATACTGACCCAGATGCGGAAGTGCCTTTAGTAATCTGATTACACTTCTTTTTGGGGGAATTATTGACAAATCAGGTCCCAATTTCAACTAATAAGACATCAAAGAAGGAAGTATAGAAATGGTTTGGTAGCAGGGAGTGCTGCTATCGTCTGCCTCACAGTGATACTAAATACTCTTTTCCTACTGAAATCAGAACCTAAGCAGAATAGATGCATTTTAGATTAGGGGGGTCTCAGAACCGAGTGCTAGGAATTGGACTTGTTTGACTGAGGAAAGTCGGCTACAACCAGTAGGACATTTGTGACCTTAGAGCTGTTTCAGTGTAAAAACGACAAACTGAAACTGCTAATAAAGGCTGCAGATGTGAATAAACAAACCCATGAAATATTAACTACATAAGATTCTATAAGTCTAGAGGTAGGGCACACTGATTTCTTACCATAATAACCTCCGTTGCAGAAGTCTTCCTCTTGAATTACACTGAGAGTGACTGGCTCAAAGAGTTCACTGCCCAGGCTGCTGGTTAACCCCTCCAGAGTGGCCAAGTATTTGATCTTCAGATCATAGAGCTTGATGTTGCTGTCTTTGACTGTGCGGCTGTTGAATTCACTTAAGAACTTCTTGAACACATTGTTGATCCGAATGCGTGTGAGGATGTTGCGCTGCCTGATGTTGGCGTTCAGAGACTCTGGGATGAAGCGTTTGTAACTGGTGGGATTAAAACAGATAAAACGGCCTTTAGGAAGCCTGCAATATGTTAAATGATTATTTAAGAGATGCTGTGCTGTGCATGTTTCTACATGCATGTGCGTGTTACCTGAATTCACGGGAAGCAGTTGTCAGGGGCATATCCACGACCATGGCATGGTGAGTGATGGCAAGCACAGCCATGCCCAGGCATTCATTCTCAATCTCGTGTTGCTCCGTTTCTGATTGGGAAGTCCTCAATGGAACAACGCCCGCCTGAAAGTCATGCTGACCCTGTAAAAACATGGAATGGCAACTGCATTAACAGTGGTGTAAAGATTCAGTATATTCAAAGCATTTTACTTTTACTGATAAGGGGGCTAAAATGAGAAAATGATGCCTATCAGTAAATAAGGATCTCGTAAAAACTGATGGCTAAACTTAAACTTTCCAACAACAGACCTGGGCAAAAAGGTATTCCAGTGAACCACAATCAAGCAGCGGTATTCCTTCTGGTGTCCTCTGCTGGCTTTGCCCTCTGAGTTTATTGATGCAGTGTCTCCAGACTTGTGACTCTCCCTCTGTGGTTCCATGCCAGTTTCTGAAATAAAACCTTAGAGACAAAGACAATGTGTTACTAGCAATAACAGGAATTGAACTAAAAAAACAAACACAAAAATGACAGAAAAATTATTAGGAAGTGAAAAGAAAAGCCGCTTGTTTGGTTATCTGTTGGCACCTTAAAGGGGCATTATGGAAGTTTGACTGCCAAAGCATGTATAGAAATAATAAATTTCTTCTTCATACATTCTCCTGCAATGCCCTGGTCCTGTAGAATGAGCCCTGGCATTTTTACTGTGATTGCCTGTTTTTCTGTAAAATCACAGAAAAAGAGAGATGCTCGGGTCGAGCAGGCTGCTTCATGCGCGTTCACGCTCAGGCACAGCGCTCTGAATTGTTCTTTGAACGTTGTTTCAGCTATCATCAAGGATATAAATGTTACAGATACAAAAGACATCACTAGTGCTTTAGCTCGCCTGGTAAGACGTCGGACTGTCGTGCAGAAAACCCGGGTTCGAGTCTGGATGTGAACATAGTTTATTTTTAGTTTCTTTTTTACATTAATGGTATATTTTTTTACAGTAAGATGCCCAAATTTTTATTTCAGACTCGCCGAACGGCATTGAATTCACAGATAAAGAAGATGTGGGTTCAACTTTCATTTTGGAACAATTTTTCAAGCAAGGGAAGGGAATGATCTGAGCATGCAGGAGGACTGACCCATCTTAAACCTTTGTCGGCTGTGCTGAAGAGAAAGGTACAGAACCAAATTATTTAATTAATTAGCTGCACATTCTCCTGTCCTCTGTCCTCCGGGCCACACACACACACACACACACACACGCACGCGCGCACACACACATCCATACACACACACGGGACTGTCTGAGCTGTTATTTTCGTTAAGGAGTGTGCACGTACAGCATGCACGCCTCGTGCACGAGCCTACTATTGAAGCTGCCGTTACGCTTTTGGCCTGAGGGGGCAATCGCGAGCATAAGAATTCAAAACTCCGTAAAGTCCCTTTAATACATCAGACATCAGCACTCATGTGCACTCATTAAAGTGACCAACTAAGGTACAAACATGATTACTGGACTTGAATTTTTTTTTTTACACTTTCAAGCTTATCACAGATTATGTTTTAAATGGTTTACAGAAAACTTCTAAAAAAAAGGAATTTAGTGATTTCTCTGCCATGACCAGACCTAACAAGTAGTGAGAAACTTATTAAACATGAGACATTTTTTTTATCTTAATGTTTTGAGAGAATATTCATGCAAAAATGTCAAACTCCAGTCCAGTGACACACATCAGGCTAGTATTACAACTCTATCTGGCTAGAAAAGACATTTTCCATGCATCATCTGCTACCTTTTGTAAGCACGACTGATTTAAACGCCAATAAAATATATGGCAAGCACCTACAAACGAGAGTCATTTCTAAAACAAGAAGCAAACAAACAAACTTAAAGGCATAACCTCAGCAAACACCAACAGTAAAAACAGATGTGAGTTTCTAAAATACTAATGACTTATGGGGGAAAAAAAACAACCTAAAATACTTCAGGCTGCCTTTGACTGAACCGTGTGATTGATATTGTGCCATAGGGCTGCAGACACCGTTCTGCTCAGAAGCTCATAGAAAAGAAAAGACGGAAATGACTCTTTACTACCGTAAGTCCTCTAATACAGGCCCGGGCCTGTATTTGACTCAAGCTCATCAAGCTCCAGGCCTTTATTGGAAGGAGGACCAGAATTAGAGGCAGGCTTCAATTTCTATTTGAGCAAAATGAACTAATGGTTCGCTGGAGTTTGACAATTAAAATTGCGCCCACATTTTCAAAGTTAAACACATTTCTTTTAACAACGGTAGTTTATGCTTCAGCCCTCTCCCCCCTCCCCCTGCGCAGCAGCCGCAAACTCACTGATGCGCCTGCAGCCTCTCAGAGTTCCTGCTGCTCTAAACATTAAAATAATTATTTCATTTTCTGTTCCTCACTTCTGATTACCTTCAGTGGTGTCTGTTTGTTACAACCACCAGGTACAAAAACTAACTTGTTTTTATTTGACTATTTTTCTGTCCTGCCTGTTTATTATCTTCCTGCATCTCCTCTCAATCCTAAAGAAAAACTGCTACCTGGGTTCATATATATTCACCTTATGAGTTACCTTTGAACTGCAGTTCTAAAAGATCTACCGACCGCAAAAACAGCGGAGTGCTTGCCGGCCACATCAGTTAGGTACGTCACCGAGGACAAAACAGGTGATGCGCCCCGATCCACAGAAGCAAAACGCATCAGGCACAAATAAAAGACAGAAAACATAAAAGGAAATGAGCCGACATGAACGATCACGTGTTAAATTAGTTTTTGAGGTGGCGACACCTGATTTGATAATGTTACTGTGGCCGTGCTCAGGACGCAGATGTCTGGAGCGCGTCAACAATCAGAGCTTTGCATGCGCATGCTGGTTAAGGTTAGGATGGGGGTGAGGGGAAGGTTAAATTGCAAGAGGGTAAACGTCACAATTTGGTTAAATGTCCGTTTTACGGCGGGTGTCAGTACCGACGCTCTGGCACAGCGCATTGCCTCCCGACGCGCAGGAGCTTGTCACCTGCTGACAGCAGGCTGCTGTCTTTTCCGAGGACTGCATCTTGCCAGTCATTATCACGTGACAGCGACTAGTCGATGACAGGCATAAAAAGTCACTATAGAGCGGTGAAGTCGACTAGTGACTAGTTCATACAACCCCTGCTACTGCTCCCCAGAGTGTTCTGCAGCATAATCAGCACGTTCTCTTTGAACTTGATATCAAATTTTCGCCTCCCCTTCGTCTCCGCACGGTTAAAGTTACCCTCGTGGACTATCACTGGCAAATCAAAAGTGAGACGGATGACACAACCGCCCCCCGTACTTGCTTGTTACCACATTCCACCCGGCCACAATAAAAAACCGGCCATTATTCACCTCCGCCAACTCCGACCAAAATATGATACCCGGCAGTTAATTAAATACAGGCTAATATTAGAGGATTTACGGTATTTTGTAACTGACAAAAGAAGAGTGTGGTTATAAATCAGTAAGAATTTAAACAGCTGAAGTTTTAAGCGTCATGGCAACAAAACAGAAATTAATTTAGCTAACAATGCTGAGCTACTAGCAGTTAAAAGCCTAACCTCATGCGAAAGTGCAGATTGATACATGATTCCTCTGTGATCTGGAACTCATGGCTGGGAGCATACCATGTGCCGTCGGCCTCATCATACAGGCAGAACAAATTAGAGCACAACGGTGAGATACCTGGAAAAGAGGAAAGAAAAAGACAACATTCAAACTGCTAGAATCATTACGTTGAGACAATGGTCTCTTACACACTTCCAAAAAGAAATGAAGTAGGATCAACTTTTCAATAGCTTTAAGCATTCTACCACATTATTTCAATGTGATTATATTTATCAACCAGTTGAAGATTTAAATAAATCTAAAAGGTAAATAAATAAATGTAAATAAATGTAAAAGGTCTAAAGGTCCTGTAGCATAAAGAAGCTCAACACATTTCCACGTTAAATAAGTTAGAAGATCTCCTAAAAAATGGGTCTTGTTCTTAAAGCTCCTGTAGTGACCCTTAGTTTTGTTGTTGGAGTCACAGATTTTCTCATAGTTTGGTATCCAGGTCCTTCAGTTAGCTGGAGGAAAATCCTTATTGGTGACAACTCCCATCATCATCACTAACTCCAGCTGTTCTACTTAACTCTTTGTTTAGTAAAAATTTAATTACTAAAATTTACCAAGGTTACAGTTACTTACCACACCTCTTGGCAGCTTTTAAACAGAGGTCCTCTGCAGTCCGAGAGCCTTTGGGAAACTCCAGCGGTTTCATTTCTTGACAATAAAAGTGGATCCGCAGGCCTGAAGTGGAAGGAGGAGGCTGGAAGGAAATTTGAGGCTTTCCATTTTTCCTCATCTTCATACAGAGTTGCCTGCTGAACTCCATAATCCAGGAAGAAGACATTCAGATCCTAGATAATTAAAGTGAGACAAAGAAATAACAGAAATGGAGAATCGTCATTTAACTTTTGCCAGTTTTTTAAATTTGCATTTCACAATTGATTGAAGCCAGGATGCATGAATATCTATCCATCCCATCCCATCCATTTATCGTCCACGGTATAGATACAAACAATGGGGCGATTGCTTGTTTTGGGTGATGGCTCCTTCACTCTGTAGTAAACTACCCGGCGACCTGCATCTGATGACAGGTTTGTCTACTTTCAAATGAAAGTAGGGCTGCAACAAACGATTATTTGGATAATCGATTAATCGGATGGGGTCTCGACACGATTAATCGATTAATCGGATTACATGGGGAAATTTTTAAAAACTGCTAGGGAAACGTTATTTCTCTCCTTCCTTCACTTTATTTAACACAACATTATTAGAAAACAGTTCAATAGCAGAAAAACAACATGTCATCACCTAAATTGTCTTATAAGGTGTATAGACAGAGACCCTAAGCTACATCTATCTGTGACCTAAAATGCTTGGTCCAAGTTAAACAGCTTAAGGGCAATTCTCATCTGTTTTGTTTGATCTCATCTGTTGACATTTATTTTAAATGTAATTAAACATTGGCTGTGAATTATTCATAATTGATCACTATTTCCAAAAATGACTGAAAAATACCAAATAAAACAAAAGTAAATTAATGCCATCCTCCTTGTGATGATGCCCTGGGTAACTGCCATAAAGTCACATCAAGAAATGCTGCTGATCATTCCAATGATCCCAAATAGACTCACATTAGGCCACATGAAAGCAACTGAACCCAAAAATATATTAACCAGTATATAACTGCACTCTCACACAACACGCCTGCAGCAACAGTTAGGACTCCTCCCTCCCTTTTAAAAGCGTTTTTGCTTCCGAGGACATTGTGGTTGTAAAACCACATAATAGTAGTCTGGCCCCGGTGTGATCAACCAGTTTCTGCGGGAATGTGACGGCGGAACCAGGGCCAGATTAAGACTTTGTTGTACCCTGGGCAACAATATTCAAGGGCTCCATCATCACGACCCGAGGATCACCATAATATGGTCACATACAGAATATTTTACTGTAATATGCAGTAAATATACTCGATACTTGAATACCTGACAACACGTAACCCGCCCAGAGTAACCTTTGACCCACCTCGTGTGGACTGACCAATGAGGAGAGGGTCTTAACTTGAGGCCCTCTCTTCATTGGTCAGTCTGCATGAGACTGACTCTCAACTGACGTTCAGAGTCGTAGGCAGCGAAGCGTCTCTGTGCAGCGCAAAAGCCCGGGTGGACAGTTTGTTTAATATAGGGTGATCATATTTCCATTTCCAAACAAGAGGACAGGGGATCTGTGCCTATGACGTCACACTATGGCAACGCCACACAATCCATGTTGGGACCCATTTTTTGTAAGAACTAAATTAATATCAGATTCTGCCAATAAAAGGGCTCTAAAACAATTCATATGTAAATATTTTGCATATTTAATGCAAAATCTCATTTTTATGCTTTAGTGCTGCAACAAGGTTTTATTAATAATAAATTATTATACCTTTTGTTTTACTACAGCATCGGTACGCTTCCTGTGCACAGATTATTAAGGATGCTTGTTTCAGCTGGGAGATTAGACGATAGGATCAATGAAAAAATAAGTTGTCCCACACTCCATGGAAACTTTCAGAGAATCCACAAATAGTGGCTTTCAAATGGTTTAGCTACTTTTAGCAAGTTTAGAAAAGCAGCAGATGAGACAGCATGTCTGATAATTTAGTTTTTCATCTGATAATATTAGAACATGTCAGTAATGTCTGAGGAGCTTTTATAAACACTGTATAACTAATACTCCTGGAGAGGGCATGAATTACACAGAGGCTTCTGGGGAGCCCAGCTATGGGGGGGGGGGGGGGGGGGGTCATTTTGCCTTGGCCCCCAAAATGTCTTGAAACGGCCCTGGGTGTGTGACAGTGTTGAAGGTGATCTGAATTGTATCAGATGTATAAATATGACATGTGTATAACTTATTGTTTTTACTGGTAAAAACGTGTAATGGAGATAAATCTACCTACATTTTACTTTTCAACACTTTGTTTTGTTTTCTTGTTTTTATTCAACTATATTTTCCTGTCCTGTCTGTCTCTCATCTTCCTGCATCTCCTCTAAACTCTCCAGAAAATCTGCTGCCTGGATTCTTACTTTTTCACCTCATCAGTTACTTTTGAGCAGATCAAAGATCTCCTAACCGCAAAGCGCAGAGCGCGTTTTTGATGCTGTGTGAGGTGAAATCACCGCAGCACAGGTGATGAGCTCCGCAGTAGCGCGCTTCAGGCACAAATAAGACAGAAAATAGAGAGCATGTGCAGACATGAACGATCGTGTGCTAATTATAGTTTTTTGGTTGCGCCACTTTGAGAATGGACCATGCGCTGGAAGCAGCTGCCTGGATCGCAGCGCAACAATGCGGAACCGGTTCGCAGCAGCAAGTCTGCCGGCTCTCCCTCGCGCTGATCTGCGGCTCTCCCTCGCGCTGATCTGCGGCTCTCCCTCGCGCTGATCTGCCGGCTCTCCCTCGCGCTGATCTGCGGCTCTCCCTCGCGCTGATCTGCCGGCTCTCCCTCGCGCTGATCTGCGGCTCTCCCTCGCGCTGATCTGCGGCTCTCCCTCGCTCGCGCTGATCTGCGGCTCTCCCTCGCGCTGATCTGACTTGCTCTGGTCTGCGCGCAACGGCGGGCGGGAAGGGGGGGGGGGGGGGGCGCTTTTGGAAGAGTTGTGCGACACAACGAATCGATGACGCAATTCGTTGCCAACGCTTTTAGTAATCGATTTTCATCGAATTTATCGATTCGTTGTTGCAGCCCTAAATGAAAGCTTAAGACATTTAACTATGTCAGTAGGCATTCTATTATTAGCGATTTTCTGTTAGCCATCTGCTCTTTTATTCTTCTTTTTAGGCTTTTATGATTTGTGTATTTTAATTAGATTTTCATTCTAAGGTTTTATCTTTATCTCTTTTCATGCTCTATGGTCATATGTTGTCATGTAAAGCACTTTGGTCACCTTCATGGTTGTGGAAAATGCTACATAAATCAACTTCATTGACTGATTGATTGAAAGCCTGAAGAAAGGGGTCATACATCTGAATTGTTTTTTTTTTTTTCAATTAAATTCAATTATATTCAAGTGTATTTATATAGCGCCAAATCAGGACAAGAGTTGTCTCAAGGCACTTCACATAGTAAACATTCCAATACAGGTCAGTTCATTAACCCAATCTGAAAAAGTTTCCTATACAAAGAACCCAGCAAATTGCATCAAGTCACTGACTAGAGTCAGTCTTTACAACAATCCTCATACTAAGCAAGCATGCAGCGACAGTGGACAGGAAAACTCCCTTTTAACAGGAAGAAACCTCCAGAGGACCCTGGCTCAGTATAAGCAGCCGTCCGCCACAAATCACTGGGGATCGAGAAGACAGAGCAGACACACACACACCAAGTAGTGTTTCTATGGTTACATTGTGATTTATTAGTAAATATTCTATTTGGTGAGAGATCAACTTTATTGTATTTATCCTAGTGAATCTATTATTAAACGGGTAAACTAGTAGTAGCACATTCAATGTCAAAGACAGTAAAATGTTATTATCAGGAGAGGGAGAATATTTAAGTGGTTAGCAACAGTGTGCTAGCCGATGGCCCCCACAATGAGGGCACTACAGCTCAGCAGAACATCATTGTAGCTTCTTCTGGGGAGAAAAAATAAAGTTAACAGCTGAACTAGCGGGAAATCATACAGTTAAAGAGCAGATTGTAGAAGAAAGTAGTCAAGTGTGGAAAGTGGTCAGTGTGTCCTCCAGCAGTCTAAGCCTATAGCAGCATAACTACAGAGATAACTCTGGATAACCTAGCCTTTTAGATGGAGGCATGTTGGAGGCAGGGCAAGCCTTCCAAGTGAAGCTTGCTTAAACCGATTATTTCCAAGAACAAATACTGCCCCTTTAAAGTCAGATCAGGCCTTTAAATAATACACGTAGCACCTGCGCAAAAACATTGGACAGTCGGACATTACAGACCTGTTTAAACATTGTCCAACAAAAAAACATTAAAATGTCAGACATATTGATCAATGTGCTTCTTCTCTTAATTTGTCTAAATAAAGATACTTTGACTGTTCACAATTTGCTGGAAGTCCATGACACAGACATTTTCTTTCAATGACTCATCAGAGATCAGATCTGATCTCTGCAGCAGAGGCGCCTTCTTTTAAGCATTTTAACTGATCCATGTGAGGAATGTAGGAATGAACCAAGATTGCATTCATTTTTATGACTTTGTTCCTTTGCCATAAAAGAAGCACTTTTCATGTTTTGATTGAACAAGGTTGAGTAATGTGGGGGCTGTTTCTTTATCCAGGGGGAAATTAAACAATTATGTGATTAAGATAGATCAGGGATGCACCGATATGAACATTTGGGACAATATCCATTTTCAGTATTCTGTATGTTTTGACCAATAACCTATATGTGCTCATATTATAATTACACATACATATACATTTATAAACACACACAAAACACTGACTTTTCTGAGATGTTTACCGTTACTGTCACATGACCACCCCTCTCCCCTCCCGAAACAGATTCACATCTGGTGACTAGATGGAAATAAATCAGTTAACAATCCCGGCCCAGTTGTACTTTTCTGACCAAAAAATGACTAGCATACAATAGTTAGAAATTCCCCTCAAACATATGAAATAAAAACACTAGTGCTCAAAGACAAAGTTAACCTCAGATGAGCAGTAATTCTACTATTCATCATAATAACACCAGGAAAGTTGTGTCAAACAATGATGTCAGAACACAAGGAACCACTAAGGAACCAGAAACTAGATAATGCACGACAGTGAGTGACAAAGTTGTACATCCATTTTGTCAGAAAGATTTAGTTTTTCTTTTATTTTATACCTGTCTCACTCCAAGC